TTTACAGTCATGGTGAAACAAACCTGAAGTATTGACACATCAGAAAAAATGGCAAGATTCCAACCAACTAAATATCTTTACCACTCTTTTTTTAAGTTGTGTCACTGCATATGACACAACTTAAAATAGCTAAATCGGCTTTGATTATAAATACTCACATTTTCTTTTTTCTTGAGAAGTGCATCTTTCTTCCAGCCAAGGTAGTTCTCTTTCTTTAATCCTAAGTTTTGGCATTCATGAACAAGTACTCTTTTCCTGATGACTAAGGAACCTTTAATTAATTAAGAGAGATATAAGCTCTGAAGTTATTTTCAAGTTTTATTCATGCGATGACTTTGGATACTGATGCTGAAACATCCATCTTAATGTATGCCCTCAGATGCTCACTGATAAAATACTAAAATAATACCTATGGACAGGTAATTTCCCCTCCCCAATCTAACATACATTGTTATCCTATGGCATTGTTCATCATTCACATGGTGTTCTTGGTTAATGTTTTTCCCATAAGTTGAATATTACTGTCCTTAAGGTTATAAATATGCAAGTATGACATGGTTCCCAATCAAAAAAATTACTCTCTTTCTCTTGTTTAGTTGTGAAGAACTGGTAAACTCTACCATGAGTCAATAGTTGAATACAGATGGCTCAGCCTTTTGTAATGAATCTGACTTAGCCCAAGGAAGTTAAGTTTCATTCTTGTTGTTGTTTCCCAAAAAAGTCATAATATTGTCTCACATTAAATTATAAAATCATGAGGAAAACTCTCTGAATGTTTTGGGATTTCTAATCCCTTTAAAAACTCACTGGTGTTCCTTTAATGGTAAGCTTTTAACTTGCGCTTCAGTCGTACTTTTTTACTTTTAGATCTTTTGTTGGTTCCGAAGCATGATATTCGTTAATGAGGGAAGGTCTTCTTGGTCTGGAGAAAAACCACCGCACGTGATTAGAGAAGATCTGGCGGCTTCAGGCGTTGTATCAATTAATTGCTGGGCGGCATATCGAACTGGAACACTAAACTTCGACTTTCTTGTAGCTTTTCCTCCTTTAAAAGTAATTACATTCAAACTCTTTTTCGACCTAAAATCGCTTCTAGGAGGCATAATGGTAGCCAAAGCCTTTCCAAAGGGGTTCGCAGGCTATGGCACCAGGCCTTGAGTCCTTTCGGGTTTCGATAGGTAAATAGGCCCTACTTTGACCGCTTGTATGGGTTAATTTGGTACTAATTAAATCCGCATGTAAGCGGTTAATTGCAAGCGAATCGGGTGCAAAGTACAAGCGGATCGGGTGTTGTGATTTCAAGGGTTACAGGTTTGATTTGGACTCAAGACTAAGCGTAACTCTGTTTTGTTGGAGATTTATATGTCCCCACTTCTAACTTGCTAAAAGGTATAAATCCCTGTTTCAAGGTGCCTACGACACGATTTTTTTTCGCATTTTCTGGTTAATAGCTGTATTTAAGATTTGAAATAATCGATCTTAGCGCCTAGCAAGTTCATCTGAATAGACCATTTTTTTGCGCATTGAAAGTACGATTTGGCGGCAAGTGTCGGAAAAACAATCATGTTGCATAGCTGTGACGTGGAAAAACGTGAAGATACTAAATAGTCTACTATATTGCGAAACTTTACGTTTTATTTTAGAAAATCAACTTGATCTTCCTCTCTCTCACACTGTTCTCGTCTCACACTCTGGTCTCTCTCAATTGAAATGTAAAATATGATCCTATTGTTCAATCATCTGTCACTTATCGCAAAATTCAACCGGAAATCAATTAACGCTAGATAATCTCTCACACTCTCCTGTTTTTTTCTAACGGAGAAAAAACACTAGAATGGCACGCTCGATAAAATTTGAAATTCAATGAACGAAACGGAAAGTTAGTCCAGTATATCAGTTCAGTGTTGCTAAATATCTCTAATCAGCATCGATGTTCGCGTCTTGAATGTGATAGCGAGCGGCTACCGCTACATCCCTCCTGGGCCTGAATGTCGGGGCTTTGCGGTTGAGTTGCGAAGTCAAATGTGGTGCTCCCCTCTGTACGGTCAGTTGGTAGGAATCCAGGAGGCGGTGTTGCCAGTGCCATACCCTGAAAACGCTTGCAGCCTGAACACGCTCTGAGAACTTGTTTTACGAGTGCCCCTAAACACGGTACCCAGTATAACTCTTATACTTTGATCATTGTAAGGGCCACTCCTCTGTGCTGTATGTCGATACGTGATCGGTGAACTAACATGCGAGTGAAGGGCGAGGAGTCTGGTAGAATGATGGGGTAATGGCCTTGAATTCTTCCTCTACACTCTAACAATCCCTCTTGATTTCCTTGCACATTCAACTGTAAACGGTCTTCAAATTTCCCGCTCGAATTTGCTTGCTGTTGAGCTCACTTGATCCAGAACGTTGTATTATTTTTTATTTCTTCAGTTGTAAGTGGACCAACGACTCTCTGTTTCTGGGCGGTTCTTATGTTGTGGAGGAATCTCCCGATCCAGCCACCCACTCGCAACACACGCCACAGCTCGTGCTTCTCAAGCAGCTCGTCGAAGGCGTCGTTGTTCCCTGTTTTCTCTACCGCTAGAGCAAACAACTCGCGCGTTTGTTTTACTTCTTCTGCTTTTGATTCTTGAGTGGATGTCGTTACAAGGTCCGGCGGTCAGTCCTGTGGTTCTGCTAACCGGCTTGGTCCTTGCCACCAAAGAGCTGTCAATCTGCTAACATCTCCTCCCCGACTCCCCACGTCCGCTGGATTCTCTTCTGTTGGTACATGCCTCCAGTTGATTCGTTTTTCCTGGATCTTCCTCACTTGATTTCCCACGAACTGCTTGTATTCGCCGTTTCTACGGATCCAGTGCAGTGCTATTGTGCTGTCCAGCCAACCATAAATATTTCTTACGGGGAAAACCCTTCAGGACTTCTTTGACGTTTTGTACTAGGTTTGCAGCCATATGTCCACTAGTTCTGAACGGGGAATTGTGAGTCCTTTCTTCGCGAGCCGCGACTTTGTTGTCACAAGACCTTGATTCGTGCCTGATGGTTACTCCACTACTGCATGAACCGCGGCTGAAACTCCTTTCCCGCTTGCGTCTCCGAATGTGTTTAAGTCGATTGATAAGATCTTCATGCTTCATGACGTTTCTTGGCGCGTTTACGTGCTCTGGAAGCCCTTGTTCCCATTTCTTTCATTTGGCTTGTAAGTCACTTGGTAGAGGGCTATCCCACGAGATCTTGGTATCACAGGTATCTCTATAGAGCATTTTTCCAGAGAGGGTCACGGGTGAAGCTAGACCGAGTGGATCGCAGATTTTTGCGACTTTTCCCAGGATGCCCCTTTTTGTCGGCTCAGCAGTTGAAGTCGGAAAGCTGACTTTATTCACACTTTCTGGTTCCCTGTTGCTGTTTGGCGTAACTTTGACTTTCTTCATCTGAAGTCGCAGTTTCATGTGATAGAATAGGATCTTTATCATTATTTATTATACTTTATCTATCTATTGGAATATTTTGATTTCACAAAATTAATTAGAACTCACATATAGCAAATTTATATACATAATTCTATTTATTTTATATCATTTTAAACTTATTTTTATAAATATTAGTATCATTTTATTTTTCTTAGCATTAGATATGGACCTCGCAAGAGATTCTTTGCTTTTAATAGTGCTTAATCAGATATTCTCAAATCATGTATTTATATATTTGTTCATCATTATCATCATTAGTAGGTTAGATTTACTTTTCTATTTCTTTTTTTATTATAAAGCGCCATTGGGCTAAATGGAAATGGCGCTATATAAATGTTGCTATTATTATTATTATTATTATTATTATTATTATGAATTCAGTTATAAATAATGCTGAATAGAGGGCCTGTTCCCACACCGAACACGATTGTTCAACATTCCTTTCAGCTGACATTTCGCAAGCAAAGAATGGTGAGCTCCTTATTGTCGTTTATTTCACGCGCTTGAGATGTACTCATACTCCTTGTCTTTCCACATGACTACATTTGCGCTTTTCTTATCGTATGCAAATCCTATCAATTGTAGTTTCCATCGTATTTTAATAACAGAAATATTAAATACTACTTTACTTTATACTTTATTACATCATTTGTAATAAAGTTCAAGCCCTTTCCTGAGCTGACCGACAATACTATTTAACAGATCCAAATCCCCAAACCTTATAAAAAAATCCTTATGAGCAAGTCGCATTTAGTACAGCAACAACCATTGCTAAGAGGAATCCTCAAAAAACCGATAATACCATACAGAAAGAGGGGTTCACTCAGACGTGCTCGAGAGAGAAAAATTATGGCTTCTTCCTTTTTGCATTTGTATCTTATTTGTTTGAAATGTTTGGTCGTAGATAAGATGTGTTTTGGTGGAAGCTACAAAAAAGCAGAAGCTGATTGGGAGGCCTCAGTTTTGAAAAGGTACATGTCTAGCCGGGATATTGACTTCTAATGAATCGTTTAAAAAAATGTGTTCGAAAAGTGATAGATGATGTGCCCAGCGTATAATCGACATGAAAAAGCCAATGTAAATATTTAGCGGAAATCTTAGAGACAAATTCCAAAAGTAACCTTTACAAAATAAGACGGTCATACTTCGAGCTATAAAAAGTACAATCATCCTAGCACGATTATTTGGTGACGGTTAAAAGCTTGAACAGCTTTAAATGGTCTTTAATGTCTGAGCTCATTGTCTGCATTTTTAAAAGTCGTTGGAATTAAATCTATATTTGGTAATATTTGGTTTCTCATCTGTATCTTACTTCAAACACAGAGGAGCATTTGAAACTGAACATGAAGGAACCGTTTGATACCAGAAGCATAAAGGGAATAAATTGTACTCCACCTGAGGTTTTTCTTGTACAGTATAGTTACTTACGCTTGCACGACTAAATTGGGTAGCAGTAAAAACCATGAATTTGTTTTTTAAGAGTAAATTTTTTACGCAGCTATGAGCAATTGTACCTGTAAATTGATTTACAGGAGCATGTGAATATATGTAGATGTTTAATAATATTTCTTGATACATATAAAGCAATTTTGATGAAATGTCTCTACTTAGCTTGTAGCTAAATGTAAATATGTCCACATTTAAACAAGGTGTATGTATGGATTATGTAAGAAAAACAGTGCGTAATGTTTCACTTGACGACATGGTAAAACGATAAACAACCTTGAATGAAGCGTGATGAAGTAAATCTGCTGGTACAAGAAAACTAAATATCCTACAAATTTAATGGATCAGTAGATTAAGTATAGCCACTTTCGGTTTTTTTGGTTGACCCAATACGGTCGACTCCCACCCACAGTGACATGGATTTCAGAGAATTTGAGCCACCAGCAAGTACATTGTCTTCAATGAATGAAATTGTGCTAATGGAGTGCTGTGATAAAACTACATGCCAAGGCTGTGTAATCACTCCTGCATCTGTTTTCTTTATAACATCGCTCATCTTATACAGGTTAACAGTTTGGCCTTGATCAACGGTTGCAAGCCATCCTGGAGAAGAGAGTTCAAAACGACCTGTTAAGACCTGTTTGGTGGTTGAGATATCAAAATCAAAACTCACTCACTCTCAAAATGTTAATTGGTGATTTGCCTAGCCACAAGAGCCTGGCACCTCAAACTTGACTGACCACACACAAACAGTCACATAGTTGGTTTTTGGTGTGTTGGATATTGTCATAAAAGGAAAACCATATAACTTGGAGAAAGTCTTAAAAGCAAGGAAGGGAGCCAACAACAAACTCAAAGCACATGTTCATGGAATCAGGTTTCATTTTAGAGTTGACACTACTGCAAGGTGGTGATTTTCCCAGCAATTTCATCAGGTCCCTCTGAAAATGTATTTATTTCTGAGGTACATGATGCTTATGTGCATTTCAGTGCTACTCCTGGCAAGATCCTTTCACCTTAGGTGATGCCAAGCCTGGTGTAAATATAGCAAGCTACATGTACCTCAGTCAAAAAAATCACCTTACCTTCTGCTTGGCCTTCTTTCATTTGGACAGCAAAAACACCATGGCCACCTTGACTGCTTGGTAACAGAATCTCTTGCAGATTGGGAGGATGAAGGTACCATAGTCGACCAGAGCTGTCAGACAATACACAACTGTATGGCAATACACTCTGGATTTCTAGAGGCACAGTATAAATAAGAAATGTTACAGTTCTGGAGAGCTGTATAACTGGTAAATGAAACAACTCAGAATATTTCATAACCTACAGGAATGCTATTGTATCTCGTTGTTTGTGTTTCAATTCCTGGATGTTCTATAATACTTAGGTTACTTTGCCATTCATCATTTAAACACTCAGTCTGATAGTAGTTTTACTAAACTCGTATACTTATTCAAACCTTGCACAGTGTTACCAACATCCGATGAAGGGAAAGGAATATGTGTGCTTGAAAATTTCATGTCACTATCCTCAGACGTTACATCTGAAAAACAAAAAAATACTGATTGAGCAAAAGCAAGTACAAGCTGGCACATCTATATCAGTTAGATAAAAGATGATAATACAATTGTGAGCCCACACCTGTACATTTTACCCATTTTTGCACCATTGTCAGTTTCTGTAACCCTTGATCTAATTACATGTTAACCTGCTTCTTAGGGAAAAAAATGCATCATACATACCTGTGTGTTGGATGACTGAATAAAGCCTGATGCCTCCTGACTCACCAACTACTAACAATGGGGGACCTGAGGAGATATTTCATTAAACAGTTCTTACACACAATGCCCAATATATAAATGCAGGAAAACTCAATTAACAACATGTAGCTACAATGTAAGATAACGCAAATAAGAACTGCAAAGGAACTTCTGCAGTTAAAAAAATAGGAATGGACTGGGTCCAAAGCAAACACATGGAAAATCCTGTTGAGGGTATCTAAAACTGGTTTTGGTAAATTTGGAAACAAATTATACCACCACACTTTGACCTTTGTTTCTTTTGACATGGTTCAAAATAATACCACATTATTGCAACTAGGTTTGATTTTCCCTATATTCAATTTACTGATACATCTAGTAATTCCCTTACTTTTAGCTCCAATTTCCTGTAATTCAATAATGCAGTTGATGACCTCCATTATTTACCATTGAATTGTAATAAGCATAACATAATAGAGAGTTATGTTTTCTAAAAGTTTTTTAATCTTTACTGTAGGTGCAGGCCATCTTAAGATATCCCTTTGAACAGGTCCCTTGAGATTTAAGTAACTTAACTTATCCTCTGGTTACCTTTTAATGATCAAAACCACTTTGCTTTTGAGTGTTAAAAAAACCTGAGATTTAAGTAACTTAACTAATAACCAATAGTTAAGTTTTAATTATTAAAACCACTTTGCTTTTTGAATGATAAAAAAACCTGCCAAAAGTACCTTTTTCTGTGCTATTTTCATCAAAAACCAGTGCTACATCATGAATGTTTGTAGCTGATGTCATCATAGAAACTAGCTCAAGGCTAATTGCTTGATTCTCCACCTGTACAGAATTACAGGGAAAAAAATGTTTTCATCTTGTGTGCTATTCAGTTTGAAAGTTAAACACTCCCCCTCCTGGGTAACCCACTGGCATTCAACCATGGTCCATGCCCAAAGGGATGGGGGAGGGGAATTTCAACAAACCAATCTTCAAAAGTTCAGATGCCTAGAGGGTGGCCCATGGGGGGAAAGTTAAAAATTGATGGATGTACGACATTAGTGGCTCTGTCAACAGTTCTTGAGACAGATGCTTTATCATAACAGAATTACAAGTTTAGTTCATTTATAATAGGTATGTAGTGATAAAACACAACCTAGTGATGCCATGCAATCTCTACATTCTTACCACAATTGAACACATTTTTTTGGCATGGCGTAATTAGCTCTTAAAGAATCTCTGAGTTATTATAAGTAAAAACTTTGACACATAATTTTCTTGTTGAGTAAAATTTGAAATAATGCATTTATGTATATCCTACATGTTAATTCTGTTTTCCTAAAATCATTTTGTGTGAAACAATATAAAGAAAGAATATACACTTAGTTTAACATAACCTATACACTAGTAAGGTCTGCACATAATAACATATGATATAAAACTATACATGTACCTTTCTACATCGCCATAAAATTATCAATCCTGATGATACAGCTAGTGATACAAAGTTGTTCAGAACTGCCATCTTAAGAAAAAGGTGTGTTCCTAAGCTCTCTGGAAGACTGATAATAGCTCTAAAGATAATAAAAAGAGATAGAATGCAACTTTACTAATATTCTAGATGTTATATTGTATACAACCCAATGTTTGTGTATTATGAAAGACAGTCAATGGTACCAAGACATTATTAAAATTTTATAATGTTTCAACATCAAAAAAAGCCTTTTTTTTGGTGGCTTTACCCAGCTATCTGGATAATACTTGTATGCTTCCAGTCACTTTGATGAGGTAAGAAAGGGAAACATTATGTAAATGTAAATGCAGGCCACACAAACAAATTTAGCTAATTTTTGAAGTGATGTGGCCTAGAGGTTGTACAGATTGAGGCATATATGAATTGTAGTGGACTACAGGCTCAACCCTGAGAGGCTGGGCATTGGATGGAGAAGAAGGGGGGGAAGGGGTCTGAGAGGGCATCCTCTCCAGAAAGTTTTGATCATTAGGTCACACTCTAAAGCCATTTTCAGTATTTTATAACCATTTTAAAAGAGGAGTGTTGTTGTTACTTTCAAGGCCTTTTTTTAATGAACATTTACTGTACTGTGATTAACTGGTCTTGCCAATTATGTTCCCAACTTACTTAACAGATATAAATTGCAAAGTTTTTTTTTTTTTAATTCTTTGTTGTAGAGAGATACAGAAAGCCAGTATTGTGTGGAAAAATGACTAAAGCCATATATAGTGTTGTGTTTTTTTTTTTTTAATGGTAAATGTTGATTCAGGCTTTGCCCTGTCATCAACATCCACCCTCATAATCTCTTGCAACATTAATCTTGATCAGTATGTCTACATACTTAAATTTGCCATCATTGATTGTATTCCTCTGAAGGTCTTGAACCAGGATCTCCTTTGCAGTAAATCCAAGTGAGCTCATGACATCCCAAGCTCTGATCTCTATGCACGACTTTCCTTTCCCGGAATGAGAAATCCCTAACAATGACATTCCTCCATTTTCATGCGTTGCAAATACTGTACTTACTCCTTCCTCCAGTAATAAAGGTGGTGTTTCTTTCTGTAAATACATGGCATGAAGTGACAGGATATGAAACTGCGCATGTAGATACTGTTTACAGCTGTATGTTATCTGGTTTCTTTGAGACTGCGTGTACTAAGAGGTATTAAGCCTCCTCGAGCTCTCTTACAACGTATCCAAGATTTTAAATACCAAACACTGAACTCTGATCTAGTCGTAGTTATGAGTTTTTCTATGATCGTTTCTGATCTTAAAGTTTGCATTGGCGAGCTACAGTAACACAGATCCACATATCGATCAAACGAAAATTTTGAATTGAAAGCTTAGTTGTGTTACCTTCAAAGCATGTATTTCTGTTTTCCGGTCTGTGTATTCCAGTCCTAGCACTAACCCTTGACTATTTTCCGTAGAAAATGAACGAACGGAATGCCTCGTCTTCAAAGTTTGGAACCACATTTTCAGGCATGACTATGAATCATAGAAGTAAACTTGCTGTACCATCCGCCATCTTGAAATGCTTAGTAACCGAGCAGTTATACATACTCGTTTCTCAGGCCCGAACCAAAGAGGTATGATTCAGTTCGTTGACAAATTTTCTTCACAGACTCGAGAAGTAAATTTAAAAGTTGGGATTCAAAACTATGTAATAAAATATAAAAACTGTATAATTATAGAGCATTCTTACCCAACAACCTCCCAGACTAACTTATTAGAAATAATATCAGATATTAATAATAACTTTATATTGTCTTAATAGAAGTCTACTGGTGGCTGATCTCAGGGCTAGTGCTTCGAAGCGTTTCGTCTTTGATGATGGAGATTCCTTAACCTTTAACATTTCATACTTAATAAGTTCGTGGAGTATTCGGACCCAGACTTTTGTGGGATCAAACTAAAAAGACAGTCCCACAACCTCATAATGTTGGAAGTACAGTTAGCATCCTCGCTGACTCTTAGGGACAATCCATTCTGTAAGTTTCATAGTTGTACTGTGTTCTTGTGGTTGTTGTTCGTACTGTCGCGTAATGTTTCGTAATTATGTGGAATAATTTGTCAGGTTTTGTGAATGAATTTAGTCCTGTGGATCAATGTTTATGTCCACTTTTTAAGAAGCAGCGCCGTCGTTTTCATTTTTGGCTTGTGAAGCTATGCACCGTTAAGGTAAAAATTTTTCTTTACTGTGAGTTTCTTTGTAAGTTTTCGCTCTCTAATATGTATTTTCCTATTCATGTTTAGTACCGTAAGCTTGTGGATGATGATGAACACAATTACGGGTGACTTCCGTCACAAGAGAGTTTTCGATCGACATGTGCTGACGTACTTGAGGTCGTTTCACAGGTATTCTTTTATTTTATAAAATAATTTTTTAAATGATTATAGAGTAAAAGGTTATGTTTTTGCCCACACTCGCCAGTGTCTGGTTCAGTGATGGAAGTTCTTCATAAATAGTAAAATATCATTCTGCTAACTCGTAAAGCATGCATGACGTAATTACAACTGAAAAAGTTTTCGAAGCATCAGCTACTGCCTTTCGCATTCTTTCTAGTCTTAGACAGAAGTCAAAATTTCCGTGTGATTGTGGTTGCAGGTAAATGCGTTTTATTTCAAACAAGATTTGGGGAAAAATAATCCCTTTATGACTTGATAATTAGCAAAAGCCCCACTTTGGAGGCTCTCGTATTCTGGAAATCTTATTTCTCGGCTTAAACACGATTAAGAGATAAAATTCCATACGCAGATTTAAATAACCTTGACTGTGAATATACGAAAGTCATATATGTGAACTGCGGTTTAAGAAAGGAATATGAAAGCGATCTTCAGAGTAATGAACACTACTTAGGCAGTAGTGAAAATAAGACCTGAGACAAAAGTTAGGCCTGTACGGGATTTGAACCCATGACCTCTACGACACCGGTGCAGTGCTCTAGCAGGGTAATTTAGTATTATCAACTGAGTTGATAATGTAAATTGGCCACCGTAAAGAGTTTTAAAGCTGACTTTTCGAGCGTTAGCCCTTCGTTAGAGCGAATGACGATGGGTTAACGCTCGAAACGTCTTTAGAAACTTACCTCCTTTGTTCAGTGCTCTACCAACTCAGCTAAAAGGCCAACTGGGAGCTGGTTTTTATGTTGGTTCGTAATAAACTCCTGAAGTGATGAATTAACGACTGTGAATATATGAAAGTCATATGTGTGAGTTGCTTAAGTAGTGTTCATTACTGCGAAGATCGCTTTCATATTCATTAAATAACCTTGTTGTTAAGACGCGATAAATATGGTTTTTACGTTTTTTTACAAAGCCGCAGAAGTGACACAGAGATCACGAAACTGCGTTCAATAAATTCGAATTCTATGGTGGTGACGTCATCATTGTGATGCTGTCAGACTTCATACCTAATGCAGTTCTTCTGTTCTCCACTTTGAGGACGTCAAACTACACTGATCTTAACCAATTTGTGATGACACTCAAAACAATTTTTCAACTAATTCAGTGTGTACATTTGCTCTTTGTATGGTTCTAAATTTGCGCGTCCTTTTTGCGATCGTTTATTTTACGTGCGCCAGGGCACACCTGCAAACCAAGACGTCGTTAGTCTATCGCTACACCACGTTCTTTCTATTTTTTTAAGCTAATGGGGTACTTAGGTGCACTTAACGTCTTGAGCATATCAATGAGTTTGACACAATGACATCACTACAAACTCATCTGTCCTCAAATCACTCCAATGGTTTGCATAACTCCAATGAAAATACGAACTCGTGTTTCTTGGCCGGCCTTAGTCACTATGTAAACAATATCATATTTGACCCAACACGTTATGTAAACATCCTTCAAAAATATCTCAGGGGTATCTAACTCGTATCTCAATAGTTGAGTAATTGGGACAAGACCTGCAGAGAGAAGTCTGACAATCAAAGTGCAATGCACAATTGGATCTGACCTTTTACGCCACAGCGTGTTAATTGCTCATTAAGCTGCAACCGACTTGTCAATCTTTGAATCACGTTTTTAAAACGATTAACTGAACAGCAGAAGCGATACCCGAAGGAGACATCACACAGCTTTGTTCAAGGGAGCATCTCGTCGATTTTGCTGACAAAGCTAATGCCAGGAGATGAAGAACCGAAAAAAGGACGTATTTCAGTCTGTAGTAGTTCTTTTATTCTCTCTATCTGTAGCTCAAGGTACGAAGGAACACTTTCTATAATTCTCGACAGACTCCAGTTTTTTCCGCTCAGATGATTTGGATGCGAAGAAAGGCATAACATGGAGCTAATCTATTTTTCTTATTTTCAGGTGGCCGTGTAACTCAAATAACCCCAACAACTGGAAGTTTGCTCGGAGCAACAACATTAACGATACATGGAGAAGGTAAGCTACTCGGGAAATTTATGGAAGTCCACACCTACTGTGAGACATTTTCCATTAGTTATTTCGGCTTAATGCTGTTATGTCACATTAGGAAATAACTGCTGTAAATAAGCACAATTTGGAACGGTTAAAACCCAACCTCTCTCACCAAATCTCAATAGTTTGACTAGAATATGTATTGGTAACCGCTATATCACTTTAATCTAAAGAGGGATAATAATAGAAATTTTAGCCGGGTGTGCATTATCGGTTCTTATTATTGACATGACCGGTTTCATAGACCTTTAGACATCAGCGCAGAGTTTGCATCTTAATTATGGCGATATCCAAGCAAAGGCTAAGTACTCGCGGAAAATAACTTCTTTGACGATCAGCTTGAAAATCTTTGTTCAGTCCTCTTAACTACCTTTGAACTACTGAAACATAAGTTGAATGATTATAAATGTCGGGGCCATGAGACAGATAAATGACCTTACAACTAATTGTTTTGATTTTGAGATTTTTAAGGCATCTATCTCTCACGAACACAGAAATTGCCAGATACTTTGAGAGCAATCTATTAGTTAACTCGTGCTCATAAAATTTCGCCAAGTCAGTGGTTACATGTTTGGAGAAACTCGCCAACTCGCTAAGCAGGATTCATTTCGCGGCACTAGACCGGCGTGGGATAAGCTGCTATTAGAGGTGTTCAAATTTCATTACTGGAGCCCAATTAATTCGCCTGTGCATTTTCTTCTTTAGGAATGTTACAAATAATAAATTATAGGAGTAGGCAAGGAGTAGGCCAAACGGGAATTTGTCAGAGTCTGTAAGAGTCTCAAGAATGTCAAGAAAGTGAACTGAATGCAAACGTTCTGTAAGATTCGTGCCAAATTAAATAGAAATCGCTCATGCAGCCAGTTTTGCATAATAAATTGTTTTTTTCCAAATTGCGCCTATATCAGACGTAAGAGAGGGAAGAGCTACTTTCTGCAAAGCTCATTACGAGGCGAAGAAGTTTACCAATAAAAAGGTATAACAAAATGTTATGCCTACTTCTCGAAGAATGGTCACGTTCTTTGAATAAAACTGACCCTACTGTTTTGAAAACGCCCCCGCTTTGTTCCACGCTTGTCAGCGTAATCAATTAGTTAACAGGGGGTCATGCAACAAGGCATGGATCCAAATCTTTGCGAGAAAAAAGAAATGGAAGAGGAAATCAGCCCCCGGCAAAAGAGGCTACAGGAAATATTGATTTTTAACGCCACCCGGTTTTACGTTATCTGATAGTATGCTATGAAAGCTACGATTTAGCCATTTTGTTGCTTCGCTTCAAACGAAGTGAGTTTGAACGGTTCAATCAACCCATTAATAGAGCAAAATTGAATCAATGCGTAACACTTTCCGCTGCATAAGTACTGTTGAAGTAAAAAGTGACATTTGTAACATTTTCTTTCCTTGTAAATTCATGCATCTTAATTTTCAATATTTTCATCTACAACGTTCGTATAATGAGATGAAATAAGTGACATTTCCTTAGTTGTATAACTTATTGGTACAAATTTTGTTGTACTTCACCCTCATATTGAATTTGTATTTAAAACGCATACTGCCTTGCGATGAAGCTTTCTATATCTCGTATATGTAGGTTCCTGGAATAATAAGATGACCAAATATTTTGTGAAGTTTTCGCTATCACCTATTAAAGTAACTTTATTTACCATTTACTAATATTGCAGTTTTAATACCAGCTGGTAAAACCTTTTCTCACTGCCTTGCCCTAAAAAGTTCTCATAATTCCTTACTGTAAAACCTAACGTTTTAGAGGTATGGTGTATTCGTGGTCTTGGAAAACAAACATCTGTCATCAAAGGAAAAATTTTATGGACTATAGCTAATGAAAACCTTTAAATTTTAGGGACAGACCTCATTTATTTCTGGTATTTAAGAAGGTTTAAGTACCGTTGATCTTTTCTTCGTTTCTTGAATACCCATCTTGCTTATTTCAGGATTTGCACAGAACCAGTTCAACGAGTTTGAGAAGGAGTTGGGTAATAACGTCACCCTTGTATCACTGTCTCGCGTCCATGTCGTACCTTGTGACGTTATCTTGTACTATACGACCCCGTATCGAATAGTTTGTCAAACACGGTCAGTATTTCACTTTTATTGCTTCTCTATGGTTCATTCTGAAAAAAAGGCTATTTCACAACTTTTAGATTTAGGCAAGTGAGCCTTCGGTTATGCTGCTCTAAAATCAATCAAAAACAAACTTCCAAACAAACAAACAAACAAAATAACCAAAGGGCAGCGTCTTCGTAAATGAAGATGAGGACGACAGGTTAGTTATCTTAATCAGTTTTTATCATAATATCCATGATTACAGATTGGCAATTTAAACTTAACTTCCCCTTTCACAGTGCCTACTATAGCTGTACCATGCAGGGGGATAACCGATTTAGGTGCCTCAGCACACTTTGCATTGAAGTCAAGCCCGAAGTGGGGCTAACACCCTTAAGTAAACTTCAAAATGCTCAGTTATCTTGGTTTTCTCATAATCAGTAATCTCGGAAACATTTCAACATACGTTGTCTTACTTTAAGACCCTCCCCATCAGGAGAAGATAGTTATAACGTACGAGTGTCGGTGGATGGAAAGTGGTTACATAACACTGATGAGAATGTGTATTGCGGAGGAGAATGTTTGTTTAAGGTAAGAGATATGCGAAGGTATTAATATTTTAATTCAAGATGACTTGTACTTTACGCAGCAGACATAATTCTAAATCAAGTAGATAAGATAGTAATCAGTTTTAGATATAAGGTAGTTATTTTTAAATAAAGTAGAAAAAGCATTTTCCATTGTCACGCCTTGACTTTATTGATTAATGCCAATCGCCCTATGAACGTATGATGCCTTTGACTAACAAATCGTTAAACATCTGTTGTTATAGTACAGCGAGACGAAGACACCAACAATTACCTCAATAACACCGAAATATGGATTACCAGGTGAGTGTACTATGAGATGATCCGAGTGGCGTCTAATTAATTTCAGGTATGCGTTGGAATGTCATGTCCACTCAGACATAATCACCGATTACGTCACTATAGACATGTCACTTTATTTAACTATCAATTTATGCAAGCTTAGAAACAGCGCAAATTACTGGAAAAAAATTTCAAATATAGCTCTTATTCTTAAAACCTCACGTGGGGACGAGAATTTAGGCACAGGTGCAATGATTTAGACTAAAGGGAACTCGCCTGTACAGAAGAGTTAAGTTAATTTTTGTATTTTCCTCATAAAGAAAACAACACCATGTCATATGCTGGAATTTCATTTAAAGGTTAAATGTCTTAACTCAGCGTTTTGAGACTTTAATCTGTTAATTTGGCATCAATGGTTAGGTGTTTCAAATTACCATCAGATATGACGTCTCTGAGTGTATCAGCTGATAACTTCGACCGTAGCGCTTGACATTCCTGAGTGTAAAAAGATTCGCTTCTGCAGCCAGATGTCGGCTGAAAAGAAGGTCGTACATTTGACCTAAATTTCAGGTTATTTAGCAAAGAGGGTCGTTTATTTGACCCAAATATCAAGTTATTTCATAAAATAGGACAACTTGAAGATTTTGCTGCAGTGGTGTGAGGGACTGAACTCGAACAAATACTACATATGATTCAATGACCAAGCATTACATTTTTCTTTTCGCTTTCTATTGAAACACTTTTCAGTTTATTTACTGGATAATTTTCTTTCCCGTTGAGTTTAGCCTGGTGACCAGTTATCGTACCAATCATTTACATGCACGAAGGACTCCTAATGGTACAGGCTTTATAGTAAGTCCGTGAAAACGTTGTTGGTGACTCACAGTCAGTGAAGCTCGTACTAAACACAGCATCTCTAACCTGTGCTACTTCAGCAATTCCGGAGTATTTTAAAGAGACAGGTTATTTGACAGTTGGTGGTTAAGAATAGAACGTTTCGATTATTAAAGTAAGGGCCATTTGATGGAAAATTTTTCGGAATGAAAGTTTATCGAGAGCTTTTACGATGGCAAATTCAACTTGGATATTCCCCAAAAGAACCACAAAGAATTACATGCTTGCTTCAGCTGGTAATACGGAGTTTCAGAAACGACGACGGTGACGCCGTGGACAACGTCGGTTAAAAAATGAAATTATATTTTACCAATAAATCTCGTGATACTCTATAGCAATTTAGTTTGTTTTTCGCTGCCAAAACTTTCTCGAAATTGAATGTGGAATACAGCGTTAAATTGGATATAGAAATTCAAAAAATTAGCCGTCCTCGTTGACGTTTTCCAGACAACGCAAAGTTTGGTCAATTCACGTTGTTGTTTTGCAGAGGAGGAAAGAAATGCACAAAGATTTATATCTATAATGAAGGCCGTGTTGGTACGTCACACAAAACACGTCTTTTTTTTTAAATACCTTTACAACTACAAGTTTGCCATAAGTTTACTCATATTTCAACTTCGAGACAGAAAAAAATCTTAGTCTCCAAATTGCCTGCTAGCCAGTGACTGGGTTTATTTACGTTTAGATACAAAAATCGAGAATTTTTCACGGTTGTACGATCGATAAATTTTTGCTCACTTGATGGTTGAAAGCCCACCCCATTAAACAACCGTAAGTAGGCATTTCACTAGACTACGAGAAAGGTAGTTCGGTTTCGAAAGAGTATCTTTGTAAATTGGATTACTATGATTATCAAGCGAATTACTATTTAAAAGAAAGGAGAACGAGAACGAGAAACTGGTTCCTTTAGAATACTTTTATTTTTCTGTTTCGAGAGAACCCTACACTTTATTCATCCTTGATCCCTGCACCAATGTCTTATAATTCATGACGTCTTGTCAATTGCCTTGATCGTCGATTAACATGCTCAGCGTATCTTTCGCACACGGCAAACACGGGCCTGCCAAGCACGGTCCCTGAAATTCATAAAAATGAAAAGTTTATGGCCAGTGGTAACCACTGAGTTCGTACTTTGTAAAGACAACATAATTAAACAACTCTTTTATCGTCAAGAAAAAATACGTTCTGGCTTGAGGGTCTTAATGTGGCGATTGCTTTTACGGCTAACGGTTAAAACTGATTTTGGTAAATCTACGGTTAAAGATTGTTTAACTTCTTTTCATTGCAAATAAAAGATGAATTTTAACAGTTAACCCTTTTTACAACTAACGGCTAAAAACTGCCAATTTTTACGCCTAACGGCTAAATAATATGCTGTTTCACGGCTAACGGTTAAACCTATTTAGACTCTTTTTTATGAACTTTTCAAACTGCTGCTGACGTGAGAGCTTGGTTAGAACTGTGCTTTTTTACCTTTAAAAATGTTGAATACCATGAAGTAGAGACGAAATTGATCGCACTTAACAATCAATAGCACCATAAGCATAAACTAAATGAGGAATTGGCTCTGAAAATTATACATACTCTTTATCGTTTCGGTGATAGCTGTAGAACCCAACTATCACATGGTCTTCTGGCACCGTGTAATCTATAACAGCTCGGAAGTCATTCAAGATCTGGGTGTAGCAATCAGTTGTTCGGTGATTGGGTGACTTACAACATAGAACCTTGAACCTGTACGATTGCAGTGAAATAATTGATGATAAACAGTCTAAACTATGCCAGCACGCGATAAAACTCCGCGTTAAATACTTCAACCAGCTGAAGCCGACCAATATAAAACCCACTGGGGTATGCTACAATTCCTCTTATCAATTATTCATCAAAAACATTTAGGTTCTGATTTCTATCCGCTAGTGTGTCACCATCGTGTGACGTAATTCCTCGTTTCCAGGCTCTTACCTCCCTTAACCTTTGTCCCATCTTGTTAATTCGTAGTCTGCTGAAATTCGTTAGACACTTTACCAGCCTAAACCAAGGTCTCCCCCTTTCTTTCCAAAAAGGGGTGGGTAGTGGTGAGACCCCATGAGGTCATTTGGCCTTTGTGATAAAATCTTGGCGTTCATACTTGCCTTCGGTCCTCCTTGCCGTTGTCATGTACGCTGGACAATCCGCCCACATAGCCGTTGCCATCGCACATTTTGAACAGTGGCCCATCCCACTCATTTACTTCCGCGGTCAGCGAGCACTTTTTCTCGTTGTTGAATTTCCCAACAGCACCACATTCCAAGCTCCAGACGCGATCATTTTTACAGCCCAGCCAGAAACTGTACAGCGAAGTGATTGCGTTGCCTGCATACGTGTGAAGTGACATTAGAATGAACTTAAGTTCTTCGGTTTGAAATAAAACAAGATGAATAAAAAGACCGAACACTGGCTTCAACCTCACATTCCCATTCTGGAGGAAGTTATATGCCAATAAACACGGACGAGAAATGGCTAAAATACGAAGAAAAAGTTTCTGCTCACCGTTTTCGCACTCGAAATTCATCGGCAAGTCCCAATCGTTAGCCCAGTCCTTACCCGATGGCAGAGAAGAGTCGCAAGACATCGATTGGCCAAAGAAAATGGCAAAGACTGCTAAGAACGTAGAGATACGAATCGTTGTCGACATACTCCCTAGAACAGTTAAAATATCAACGATGCCTTTAAAATCCGATTTTAGTGTGGAAAGGTGGAGAAAAAAGCGTTCCAATCAAGCTTCATCGTTAAAATTCAATTTTTTTTTGCCATATCATTAAATTTGTCCCATTACAATTTGCGCTCTCCCCTTTCATAACCTTTTTTAGCTCTAGACATTTTTGGTGAGCGTTCAATTTTTACTTTATAGTAATATATCCATTTTAAGTCCCTGTTAACAACGACGATGTTTCGGTGAGTTACCTGTGTGACTTTTGAACTCCTTATATTCTCTTCTGCTCTTCTTAATAGAAACACCAGTGCTCTACTGGAAAGCCGGCCCCTGAATACGTAGAACTTTTCATCAATTTATTATTTCTGTAACGTGCCAACCGAAACTGTCCACAAAAAACAATGTTTACAGCTCCCATAGTAATATAATGGCAAGTAGCAAGTATTTAATCGCATTAGGAGTGAAAACCATAGAACCCTCCCAATAAAAAAAGAGAAATGAGATTCAAACTTTAATTGTAGAATTATATGTTATAATTGCCCTGGATTCGTGAAATTTTTTCTTTGCACAATATTCGGTGAACGTCAAAACTCGTTGAGACTAATTTTTCCTCCAATTTCTTTCCCCTACCCGTGTGGCCATAATTGTTTACAAAACTAGATAAACAAGTGAATGTATGCTACCGCAATTCTCTACAGGAGGTAGCACCCAAATTTAGGAAAAAAAAAACAATTCTGTCCGTGTTACTTTGTCCCACACATTGTCTTGACCGTAACTGTCAGAGTCAAGATTGAAGATGCATGCAAAATGCTTGTATTTTATTGAGCTGCAATAATTGTTGCTTTCGGCGTAGTTTCAAATAGTTTCAGCGGTAGGTGATGACATTAATGCCATTTCAAAGCTCTCAAAAATAGATAATCATGATACATGTCATCGATCAAAAACAGAGCAAACTAGTAGAAATTGTTTTGTTTAAATTATCAGTTTACAAGATGGCTTTCATTGTATTTAGGAGTTATGACTGAACTAATTGTAATATCCTGCTTTGCGTGTGGTCGCATGTACTTTTCCCAATACTTGGAACAATTAAAATTTTTCAATAAACCCATTCAAGTCCTTAAAAAAAAAACGCTTACACGAAAAACAGTTTAAACGATGCTCCTACTAAACAGCAACAGAAGCCGTTTTTAACGGTGTGCCACTGAATTCTGTTGAAGAGGGTTGCTAAGTAAAAAATGTCGGTATTAATCCGAAAGAATCAAGTCCTCTTTGTTTAACAAGAACAGCCCCTGAAAGAAGTGATGTCTTAGACTTTACACTGATAAGAGTATAAATAAAATTTCCGTTTGGGACAATGTTTCTGTTAAAGTTAAGTATTTTTTTCCCAGAACCAATGAAAGTCCGATATTTTTAAGCTGTTTCTTTAATGAAATAAACAATTGGTATATTGTAAATTATATTTATTGGCGATTTGATAAGTAAATACTTGTATTCGAAATTTCTGTTCCTATACCGATCAAATCGTGTTCTAATTTACCGTAAAGGTATTTTCATTACAACTCACAGGAATATTCGAAATTTACTGTTTCACGACAGGATCACTTTTGAAAATTTGTGGAAGGATGTTTACAGATCAAGTTATTGAAACAGAGAGCTTTGACCCAGAGTTACCCTCAATTGAAAGGTACAGACGGAGCTCAAAGTAGGCTTTTACTACTAGACTCCGTACCGCGGTGAAGTGCATCTGCATTATTTAACTATATAAAATTATTTTAATTTAGACGCTAGCAAAAAGGCACCGAGCTACTTTGTTCCAGAACCGAAAAATGACAGAAAAAGACATTGCGCAGTATGCCAAGGTTCCTCTCAATGGATTAAATTTAAACGAGTCATTTAAATGATTTCATAACACTCACTAAAAACATTTATGGTTGAGTGTTTAAGGCAGGATTTCTTGTTATCAATGAAAATTCGAAGTGATTTAGATGTATCCATGCTCTCTACTTTGAGTATTTAATTTTTTATCTGTCAGGCACATCCGATCCTTAACTTTTTAACCGTGTTTTTATTTTTCCTTGCAGGATTTTTGCAGGTGCGCATTTGTGTGAGGCGAAAGATCCAGAAACAGACCAACTGTAAGTTAACCGTGCACGTCCAAGCTTTAAATCAGGATGTGTATGATTTCACATAGATGTCTCATACTGAGTTGTGAAGTACTGAATAAAAGTTTGAAAAGGTGTTTGTTTTTTTTCTTTCTTGAACGTTTAGGTATGGAATGAAAATAGAAGACCAAAACGCCAAGACGGGTTACATAAAATGTAAACCTGTTTCACCAATGATAGGTAAGAATTATTTTTACCAATACTCTCAGGAACGCGAAAACCGGAAGAATGGGCTTCATAGACAATGATATGGAAGGCATGCCCACATCCAAATAATAATGGTTTGTTACTTAAATTTTACCGCCGTTGTCTTGTAGAAAGAAATATGATCAGTTTAAAGAAAAAATATAATTAAAGGTTATTTCCCTTTCTTGCAGGATCGGAAAGAGCTTCCTTCTTGGTGTCCGGTTATGGCCGATCCCGGATGTCTAAAGATGTCATTTCAGTTGACTCCCAGGACAAACTTTACCTTTTCCAAACTCATGCAGGTACGATAAATGACCTAATGAAAAAGATTCTGACTTCATATGGGAAAGAATGCTAAAAAATTGATAGTGAAACTAATATCAAGATGACTTTAAATTTCCATTTTCAGATGTTATTCATGTCAGCCCGGCTGTTGGCAGCACAGCGGGTGGAACAGTTCTTACAATAAAAGGCAAAGGTTTTGATGAGACCGCTAATAAGGTTTCAGTTGAAGTAGCAGGTACTCTTGACGTGTGTATTCATATGCATTTATGAGTCGAAGGTTGTTGGGTCGTCTGATTGGCCTTGGGGAATTGAATGTCGCTAAAGTCGCTCTGAAAATGGAAGGGGAGGGGAGGGGCTTGGAGTGAGTACTATACACTCTATACACTCTTGGATTACCCTCTAGCTCGATGCGATCTCAACAGCGAAGAACACACTAATGGCATGAGTAGGTTTCAAAGGCAGTGGTGTCAACCCTTGCGACCCTGTTTTCATCAACGCTCGTGCCGCGTTCTACTCGTTCGTTCAGTAAACTAAAAAAAAAAAAAAAAAAGGGAACCAATTCCGTCCTAGTTTGTCAATTCTCATGAAATATATGTCGTATAGAAAATTTGGATGAAAGGACTAAACCGTAAAAAGCAAGGCTAACTTCGTGAAGATGCACAGACTCTGACGTAACTCCTTTCAGCAGCCAGAAAGACTTTTTCCTTCCAGCATGCGACGCGAATTAGATTTTGTGTTATATCCGTTCACCTCCCCATTTTGTTGTGTTCATCAGGGGTACCTTGTGAAATACAATCAATAGAAAAAGACATCATCAAATGTCAGACAAATGAGGCCCTTCAATCTACGGCAGATAACGTTGAGTTTTACGCAGGTGAGAAATTTTACCTAAATTGTGATCCGCACGTCACAATGAAGCCTTTTTTGTATCCACACTGAGGGTACAATAATATATGAAAGGTATCCCAGTCTCAATAGCCACCCAAGGGCGTTTACAAACATCATTTTGACCTAACTTCACAGGGAATCGTGGCCTATTACGTGAAGTGTGGAACCATACTAGTTCGTTTTCCGTATCAGGATACGGAGGAGGACTGAGAAAAATGGCTTCTGAAGTGTTACCCGAAGCAAGTTCAACATCATTCAGTAACCGACTGCGAGGCTTCTTTGTGCCACCATCGGACAATAACTACACTTTTTTTATCCAAACTAATCATAGGGCCGAGTTGTACCTCAGTATTAACGAATCTTCCAAGGCTAAGGTAAATAAATAAATAATTAAATAAAATTGATAAAAATTATGTAAATAAATAAATAAGTAAGTAAAGAAGGTTGTATCCTCTAAAGCTACGAAGATGGATGTTCTGGAAATCTCTCGAGGTCTACTGCCCGGTGATCTTTTTTCTTTTGTTGCTTAATAAAAATACCTTCAGCATACTGTACTGGAGTTTAAATGCCAGTTAATTGCCACAAAATTAATTATTCCAGTTATTTCACGAAAGTTATATGGAGACGCTTGTAAAATACAAAAGCTAGAAGCTTATTGATTGAGTTTTATTTATGTGCCATTTCCATCCCATTTTTTGTGATCGAAAATCAGACAACCTTAAAGTTTGTGTCTTAAGATCAACTTGATTTAGACTCATGCAGTACCGGAAGTCCTTGGAAAGGGTTAAAATTATTTCAACGTTTCATGATTGTACACCATGATTTCGTATCTTTTCTTTAGACGAAAATTGCGTCCTGTTTCAAGCCGTCAGCCAGTTGGTCTGAATTTCCAGAGCAGAAGTCGGCGGTAATCTCTCTGAGAAAAGGTCAGCATTATTACTTGGAAGCTGTTCATGTGCAGGGTAGCGGAAAGTCACATGTAATGATCGGAGTCAAAATCCAGAACACGCGTCACGTGAACTCACAAACTGGCTTGGCAGTAAATGAGAAGCAGCAAATTGACTTGAAGTCAGTGAAACGCCCGGAGAAACAAGTAAGACATAATTGCTCTAAATCTGAACTTAGCTTACTGCAATGGCACAGTGCTTTTAATTTCTGACTTCGATACTTTGTTCCTTTCCAGGTGATTAACATTACCAGCTGGGATGACGGGAAGTTGTTTGAGGTGCAGGTCGTGAATATCATCATGTCTTGTAACCAAACCAAAGGTAAGCTGGCTAAAAACGCGCTTGATGGACGTATTTAGTTGATACAAGGAATCAGCTTTGCTTAGTTATATTATGAATATTCCTGATAATTATTTCTTTTCTTTCAGGAAATAACACACTTCGCGAGGAAGTATTTTTTCTAAGTTACGATGGAGACAATACTGCTCCATTGCCGCTGAACATTATGACCACTGAAACGTTTCAGCGCGCAATTAACAATCTCACAACTATCAGGAAACAAGGAAAAGTTAATGTAACTGAACTAGTTGCCAGCAACAAGTCCACTTTCTACCGAGTTACTTTTCTCTTCAAGGATCCCGAAAACACAAAGATGTTGCGATCCAATGTGACATGGGTTAATATCACACGATTACAGAAAGGTAAGCACCGGAACGTCTCATAACTATGGCATCAAGTTGAAGACCTTACTGTCAACAAATTTTAAGGCTGTCATCTAAGACCAAGTAAATTGGACTCAATGAGCCCTGTTTTATTCTTTCAATTCTTCTTTCTTGTTTGTTTTTATTTGCAGAAATTTCGAAACTTTTTTACCTAAGTTTGATTGAGATTTTAAAGGAGATATGATTAGGGTAAACAAAAGCCGAATTTTTTCTTTCGCCTTTCCATGACACCCCGCCTCGATCCATCCTCGTATCCAGTCTTCTCTACCTACGAGTCTACTACAATATGATACTGTTAATTAGTGAGTCCATTTCCCTTTCTCTCAGGTGTCCCGGGTAACTACTTCTGGAAGCTTACTCTCGCTGGAAGAATATCAAAAAACATCCATGTGAATGCAACAGAAAATGACGTCAAACAACAGCTCCTAGATATGATTGGCTGGCACTGTAGCTATCAGACACCTCCAGACCGTGCCTATTATTATAACGGTTTTGAAATTCCGTCCTTGGGCCCTGAATACGGTGAACGAGTGTTAAAACCAACAGCAAATTGCGGTCGGTTTTCTTTGAAGAATCCCAAGTATATTTTTTTAGCTGGCCAGACTAAGGACAAATTCGGGAGAGTCTTACAGGGCTACGAAGTTGCTCGGTATAAACAAGTACGTATCTGGCTTTTTTTTACCACTAAACTTGAAATTTAAGAAACACTCTTCTTGGATGTGGCTGCGACGAAAAATAGGTAAAATGGTAAACATGGCTGGTTAAAACCAAATCCTACGTGGTTGCTACAGTTTTATCTGTAGGATCTTTGAGCAAAGGAACCAAAAGGCTTTCTTTCCACCTCTGTCGGTTCGCACATAAAATTTTCTTGCCTTAAGTCCATTCTTTTGCTTGTGACATAGTGTGAACCAGCCTTTGATGTCATTTTGTAGTCTGAGTTCTCCACAAGTGTATAAATCTGACTTATCTTTCGGCAGCTCTGTTTTTCATATAAAGGAAAGATGAAAGACTTTATCAGTTTCCGGATATCATACACGGACAAGTTTGGCGCTGATCGACAGTCCTGGAGGAAGTACAGCATTATGACTATCTCGGATGGAAAATGGCATCAACTGTGTATGAATGTTCATGATAGGGTTTTACTTGATACAAATGTAAAGGCTGATTTACGTTATAAGATATACATTGAGGTTGTCAAGGTGTCTCGTGAATTGGAAGCGGATATTTCGATCGACGACGTTTTCATATGGAGTGAGCCAGTATTAGGTAAGTTTGAGTGGTTTATCAATTACTTTAGCGACGTTTTTATTTTAAGGAATGGTAAGAAAGACTATGAAGTATGCTTTCTTCATTTTCTACTTTAGTACAAAGACTTCTTCACCCTGCCGAACCAGGGGGAAACATCATAGAATCCGTGGATGTGCGGAGTCTTGGACCGAGTGCTTGGTCTGTCTCGATGACTCCTTCATCATGCGGAACTGGTATTGAGCTACTGCAGATTGCAGATGCAATTTTGGTCAGTGGTAACACCACATCTAACCAGGCGGTATTCAGACCGACTAACTCCACTGGGGACACAAGCATGTCTGTGTCACGTGGTCAAGCTGCTACTCCTCCAGTGGGAGGGACTTTCGACATCTTCCTTGAAAATTATCGAGTAACAGGTAATTGTGTATTTGTTTTCTATCCTATAATTAGTTTTAAGGACTAGTTGATAATTAATTCGATGTTTGTTGTCTTACGTGTTAGCTTTACGATCGATTTTTGCCTACTGTGCGGCAGTTTTGTAGTCTGATTTGGTCTATTGATCACTTTATAATTCTGATGAAACTGATTGCAAAATCCATCTATCAGTTAAACGGCGTAACAACCTAAGCGGGCGTTGGAAGAACGCGAAGAAAATTTGTAAATTACGAGCCGGAGGCAAGCGATTTACTTGTGCAATAAAGGATAGGCTTTTGACCAAATCAGGGCACTCATAGTATCTCCGTTTTTTTATGATGTGTGATAAACATTCTGTTTCCTGTGGTAACTTTTTCTTACGTTGAAAGTATTCCGTTTGCCCTCTGTCTTATCCGTCTCTTTCGTCAGGCATTCCTGCTAACATATCGGCAGAGCAACTCAAGTCCACTCTGGAAAGCAATTTTAATATCGGTAAGGTCAGCGTCAGTGGTTTTGGGACATGTGCGTCGTATTCTTGGACGATAGAATGGGCGACCACAGGAGGAGATCAGCCTGCTTTAGTAGTCGATGGAAACGGCCTGACAGGAAACAATGTGTCAATCAAAGCTGTTACAATAGATGACGGAGGATTGTTTTTAAGGCCGATCCCCGGTGATATGCTGCGTGTAGCTGAAAGAAAGCCTCAGGTAAGCACTAGTTCTAAACAGGAAAGAAACCAGAAGCCCAAAAAGCTTGCCACGAGCATTTAGTGAGGAAAAAGCCAGTCAAGCTAGTTTTTGAGTGGATCAGGTGACATTTTTTTATCAAACTTTGATAAAAAGGCTTTGAGCAAAATTTCTGTAAGTGTGAAAGTTAATCAACAAACAGCAAACCATATTGGTTTCTCAGGAGATGAAGGGCAAAATGTAAAGCATATGACTGATTTTATTGAACTCGGCATAAGTTTAGAAACACGCATTACTGACATTGTAAGAAGAGGTAGCCAGATGCCATTTCATGACTGACAGTGAGCTTGTTTTATTTCTAGGTGACAGTTACGTTTAACAACATTCCGTCAAGCTGTTTCAATAGAAATTGTTCTTTCACATTTTCTTCTTCGATTACTCCATCTCTTTCTTCAATATCTCCACAACGCGGAACTAGAGGAACGCTAGTAACATTAACCGGAAATGGTTTCACTACCAATGCACAGGAAGTCGATGTCACTATTGGTGAAGCTCCCTGTCACGTGACAAGTATCAGTGAAACCACCATTAAGTGCACCGCAGGCCAGTCGTCCGGTGGATCGCACGATGTTTTTGTTAAAATTGGAAATCAGGGTTTTGCCAAGCACGTAAGTGGACAGATCCGCTTTACTTACGAAGTTCATGTGAGCGGGATAAAGCCAAACAAAGGAAGTATTGGAGGAGGAACATATGTTGTTATAGCAGGTGATGGATTTGGTTTGATGCTAGAAAATGGTAGTGTGACAATCGGTGGTTCTGTTTGTAGCATACTCAGCGTTAACCTGACCGAAATATCCTGTGTCACGACACCCCACGATGTAAGTAACGCCAGCATCACTGTCGCTATCGATGGAAAAATTGGAACATTGTCAAATGCTTTCTGGTACGACTCAGGAGTCACCCCTCTAATTTTATCGATGAGTATTGTAGAGGGTGGTGTCAGTGGCGGTGCAGAAATTTTTATTCAGGGTAGTGGATTTGGGGTTCAAAAAGGGACCATTACAATAGGTTCTCGTCCATGTGACGTGAGTTTGTATTCAAACTTTCTGATAAAATGCATCACTCCCGCAAATGCTCCAGGGACATATGACGTTCTCATTTGTGTAGACGGAAAGGGCTGTGCGGTTGATGCAACTATGGGTTTCAGGCCTCCCAAGTTTAAATACGTATTAGAAGTGACTGGTGTATCTCCTTCGCATGGCTCGATCTTTGGAGGAACTGTTCTAACTGTGGTTGGCCGTGGCTTCAGTGACAATGCTTCAGTTATTTCAGTAAATATTGGCGACGTTCCCTGTAAAGTTTTGTCGAGCAGAAATACGGAAATACTCTGTAAGACTGACGCTTCATCTGTTACTCACTATGTAGACAACATAGGACTTCATCCTGGTAAGTGAACTCTGCTGTTTGCTTTTAATGGATTTGCCTAATAACTTGACGATGGGTGCATTTTATATCAGTGGGAGATCTTTTTACATCTACTCGTTAGATCCATGTAGCCCTGATGATTGCAGATTTATCGTCTTATTAAGTGTGCGTTAAGCATTTTGAGAGATATGCCGTGAAAGAGAACTGTGAATCAGTTGTTACGAAAGTTGGTGTTAATCTGACAACGGTCAACCTTTGAATTAAATTTAATTTATTCTTGTTTGGCAGAGTACGGAATTGGATACGCCTGGAATCCACAGACGATTACGATCAACGCTGGTGACTTTGTTAAGGTAACGAAAAGTCGTTCAGATATTCCACTAAATAATGTTTCTGCTGATAATGAAACGTCTAAACTTAGGGAAATTCTACAGCTTCAAACGGAGTTGACCAACAGTCAGAGGATGCAAGAGATTACAAAATCGAGAAAACCTGATCAGCCCAAGGGTAGAACATAATTTATAACAGCTGCAAGGTAGAATTTCTAAATTTATATCAAGAGAGGAAGGGTAAATTGTTAATTGTAGTATTTAAGAAATTATGAACTAAAACACCTCCAGTGCAACTATAGTGATCACGACTCATAGCCAATACTGCCGAGCGAATTTTGAAAAGCATAAAAATTGATTTCGAGATATTGATACAACTCTGATTCAACCCTCAGTGGCAGTGGACTAGTCCCGAGCTGTCAGGATTGAGTTATGGTGTACAACAAACTAGTGACGCTTCTAGCGCTGTGTATGACGGGAAAGGGTTTAAGAGCTCGCGCAGTGGAAGCGGCCACTTCACTCAAAAGTTTAACTTACCTGGAACGTACTTTTATTCAAGTGGAGCAGTAGACCCATATGGAGCTATTGTCATGAAAGGAAAAATTGTTGTCAATGATTTCAAGAGTAAGTCTATGGAAGTCAAGGTGCAAGTTGGAGGAGTTTTGGCTCCATATAACTCGTCGGTTTTTAATTTCCCGGTCGCTGGTTCCTCTGATTGTCAGTCAGGTGTGATAAATGCCATACCACATTGCACCCCTACAGACCCGTTACCAAGCAACCAGTCTTCGTTTAGTTTCAAATTCTGGAAGTGTAGTACACCGGAAGTGACTTCAATAAGCCCGAACAGCGGAACCAGCTCGACACTTCTTACCTTGACAGGCAAAGGATTTGGACTCATTAATTGCCAGAATGAGGTCAAAATTGGTTCTAGTTATTGTACGATTCAAAGTTCTGCTGAAGATAAAATAACCTGCCTGGTGACATCTGGAAATCAGTTGAGTTCAGGTTAGATGGGACCGTTGTTCTTAATTAGAAACGAATGTCAACTGCAGAACTGAGTAGGAAGTTATACGTTTATAGAAGTATTAGTCAGTTGGGTTGTTTAGAAACTCCTTGCTTGATTCTGATGATTACTTCAGGTTATGTTGGCGAAACGTGAACCACTGACACCAACGAGAATTTTTTTTCTAAAGCTCGAATAACTCTCAAATAATGGTTCTAAACCATCTATTGTGTGGGGAATTTATTTTTTGACAGGTAATTAACACGATTTTGTGGTTTAGTATTATTCGATCAAACTGAAAACTCTTTATTGGCAACCACTAATCACTCGTATCTTTTCCCAGGTTCACCGCATAGTGTTTATCTACGTGTAAATAACAGAGGAATTGCCGTCATTAAAGTAGAGAACGGAAAAAACGCTTCATTTACTCTTCAGCCAAGAATACAGACTGTATTTCCACAGGTAGGTTCCATGATGGGTGGCTCCATTCTGACCATCACCGGAGATGGTTTCTCTCCCGTCCCTGAGGTGCAAGTGGGCGGAGTACCATGCCAGATTTTAACATCAAGCTACACCCAGCTCAAATGTCAAACAGCTGCCGGAAAAGCTTCACAGGTGCTACCCGTCGTGGTTAAAGTCAATGGAATGGAAAGCAATTGTGGTTCTAGCTGTACCTTCACTTACTCAGATGCAAAAACCGCACGAATAGATTCAGTGATCCCTTCGGTTATAGTCGGAGACGAAAATATTATTCGTATATATGGTTCTGGTCTTCCAAGCGGAGCTTCAGATTTGGAAATAAAGATCGGGAAAACCCCGTGTATCGTGACGTCCTCGTCGCAGTTCGCGGCATCTTGTCGAGTTGGCCCTGTTGTGGCAGGGAAGCATGATTTGAAAATTCGCCACGGAACACAAGGCTTTGCTATGTTTGAGGCCGGAGCTCCAAATTTGATTGACAGCCTTGCTGTAGTGTCGAGTATAACACCGACAGAGGGAAGTATCATGGGCAGTACAGAATTGTCAATCAAAGGGAGCGGGTTTGATCCTACCGCTGGTCGCACAATTGTGAAGATTGGGACTAACTACTGCAGTGTTGAACGAGTGACGTCATCGGAAGTCGTCTGTAGGACCTCTAATCACGACCCAGGATCTTACGAGGTATGCTATTTTTCTTCAAGCGAAAGAATATGTCCGTGCACAGTATTTTTAACCTTAATAGATAAAAAATACTGAAAATAAGAGATGCATCATGCAAAATCTTTCAATGTTACGCCACAGGTCATAGTAACAGCAAACTCCATTACTTTTCCTCGTCTCCGTTATGCATTCCGAACATTTATCACTCCCTATGTCAAGTCAGTATCACCAGCTCTTGGAAATGGAGGACAGACGGTCAGCATCTATGGGGCTGGCTTCTCTTCAAATACAGCTTACATGCACTTGACCATTGCAAACGTCTCCTGCAATGTTGTGAGCACCAGTGAAACACATGTGACATGCGCACTGGGTAACAGTCCTGCAGGGATCTACAGTGTTAAACTTCATGTTAAAGGCAAAGGACTTGCTGCTTATCCTAATTTAAAACCAGTGACGTTTATTTATGAAATATCCTTGGACAGTATTTCGCCTAATGACTCCGGACTTGGAGGTGGCAGGATTGTGTCCATCAAAGGACATGGGTTTGACTCATCCACAGTGGTGAGAATCTGCGACAATGTTTGTGTGGTTGTTAACAGCTCGCTGAACGAGATTTATTGCGAAGTTCCATCGTATACAGGACAAACAGGCAGCCCTAATATCAACTGTTCAGTAAGTGTCGTAGGAAAAAATGAGGTTTCGTCATCAAAGTCAGGTTTTTTTGCATATCGAGAAACTCTCACCTCACGTATTACGTCAGTGAGTCCGTCTCGTGGTGGGACAGGTGGTGGAGTCCAGTTAACCATACTGGGAAATGGTAAGTGGAAACGCTACACAAGTGGGTTATTTTATACTGCTAACACAATGATATCCCCAAAAAAAGATATATCAACCTAAATAAGGAGAGGTTGAGAAAAATCCTCGCTCGACTCATCCAGGTCAAGCATGGCTAATTGCAGATTTTTTTGAATAGGTGTATTCCTTTAATAAGTTTGCTTATGAAACTATCTTCGATAATTCGTTACGATCTGAAACTTGATCTTGTTAGTGATTTGGAAATCGTCTCCGTACTGTGGGATTTGACATTTTCTTGATTTTCTATATGTTATTGAGGTCCGTTATGCAGATATCCCAACCAATCGTCCTGATTCTCTTTGTCCAAGAATCGAAAAAAAAAATCGTTTGCAGAGCTGGACAGAAACATCAACTCAACACACGATATGAAAACCTAGCTGCGTATAACTCACTATTTTTTCTCTTCCCGATAGGATTTAGTCCAAATAAAGACGGAAATAAAGTCTTCATTGCGGGAATTCCCTGCAAAATGACCTACTTCACTAAAACTGAAATCCGCTGTACAACAGGACCACGGAAAGGAACAATAGAAACAAAAGTACGAGTGGAGGTGGACGGAAAAGGAATGGCAACTCAAGACCAAGCAGATTTTCAGTACATCGATGTCTGGTCGTCGCCTTATACATGGGGATACAAAAACCCGCCAGGCAAAGGAGATGGTGTTGTTATTACCGCAGGACAGACGATTCTTCTCGATGTGGACACTCCAGTTTTCTCTTTTTTAGTAATAAGAGGAGAGCTGATTTTTGATGAGAAGAACATTACATTAAATTCTGAAAAGATTTTGGTTGTTGACGGTGGAAAATTGCAAGTTGGAACTGAGACCAAACCATTTGAACATAAAGCCAAGATTATACTGCATGGTCATTTGCACAATAAGAGGTTGCCCATATTTGGAACTAAAGTCTTGGCAGTGAGAGAAGGGACTTTGGATCTACATGGGAAAGTCGTGCCCATCACGTGGACAAATTTAGCTAAGACTGCTCTTCCAGGTTTGTAAGAAAAACCCGAAGAAAACTACCTTTATGCAAACTCAGTCAAACATAACAATTAAATGCCTCAAAAACTCCTTTTCAAACTGAAACTGCCATAAAGCACATTACATAAGTAGATAACATGGTGTTTTTCAGAAGCCAAATGAATTAAATTTTAGATTATTCAATTTTATTTGAAAGTATTCTTGCTACGACTTTCAATCATACACTTCCATTAAGATTTTATGGGTTTATAAGTTATACAAGCATGAATATGTTACTTCTCTCATTAAATGAGTTCTTTTAATTCTCAGTAAGCTTTCGATTCTAGCCTGCTTTCAGTGTTTTTTCGAGACCAAATGCCCAGAGGTCCTAGGTAATTTACTCTTGGCAATTAAAAGTGAGTTACGACCAATCGATGCGATTGCGCCCTTGTCATAAACTCATTTTGTCTTACTGTAGGTGATACTCAGCTGATTCTAAAGCACTCTGTGACATGGAAGATCGGTGACCAAATAGTTCTTGCCTCTACAAGTCGTACTCAGCGTGAAAACGAAGAGTTTAACATTACGAACTTGTCAGCTGATGGACGTACTATTGGCATTGCCCCACCTGTAAAACATAAGCACATATCTATTGTTCAAACCATCGCTGGAAGAACAATAGAAACGCGTGCTGAGGTGGGACTTTTAACTCGAAACGTCGTCGTTGAAGGCTCAGAAAACGACGAATGGACTGAGATAATTCCGGAATGTCCCGAAGGATTCGATCCAGGCCTCTTTGCTGTACAAACTTGTTACCAGGGACGCTATGGAAAGTCAATGGGAAGCGAGCAGTTTGGGTCGCAAATTATGATTAACGCAAGGATGCAAAGTGAGGGATTAGTAACTGGTAGAATATCTTACGTGGAGGTCCGTAAAGCTGGACAGGCATTTGGACTGGGTATGAGTTAGTCTATCTTTCGATGGTATAGTTGGTGAATGTCGTTTCTGAAATTAAGTACAGAGCGTTTGTGTGAACCGACGTTCGTAATGTAAGACCACCTTAAAATATTTAACGAATGTTGATGACGGGAAACGAGTCAAGTCTAATTATCATTCGGTAAGAAACACTTTACAAGCTTCTGTCGATCAGATGTGTCTCTGCGTAAAGTTATACCCTATGCTGTTCTTAGTTCGTCTGATTTGGTGCAATGATTAGAGCCTCAGTCTCAAAAGTCTCTGGCTTAGGTTCAGATAAGAGAACAACCAGATCTCAAATGGATTGGGTTGTGCTCGCAAGGTGATTGATTTCTTGTGTTCTTCGGGGTCTCCTTCTCCACAGTTCACTGGGAATTAACTATTTAAATGCAAATTTAATCTAAAAGCAAGGGATATAAAGCCTCCTTGTCCCTACTTATGAATTATCTTTGAATTGGTAAGGCAGAGTAATTTCCGAGTAGCTTTCATAGTTATTGCTTTAATGACGTAATCAGGTGATGTAAAGTATCACTTGTAACATGGCTTGTTTTTACCTTCCAGGTCGCTACCCTATTCATTTCCACCTTAGTGGAAACGTCTCCGGCTCTTACGTCCGTGGCTGTTCAATACATCACACCTTCAACCGAGCAGTGACAATTCATGGCGTGACTGGATTACTTGTCGAACATAATGTTGCTTACCATGTTATGGGTCACGCATTCTTCATTGAGGATGGAATAGAAACTGGAAACACGATACAGTATAACCTTGGAGTCTTTGTCCAGACCTCTAGCACACTTCTCATAACTGATGTCACACCAGCTACATTCTGGGTTACAAACCCGAATAATACCGGTAAGTTTAAAAGAATCCTTGAGAAAATGTTCTTGCCTGTGAATTTGTTGAATTTACGTTTTTCTTGTTTCCAGTTCGTCACAATGCCGCGGCTAGTGGAAGCCACCATGGCTTTTGGTACAACTTGCCCAACTTCCCTGGGGGACCTTCATTCACCACCTCAGTCTGTCCAAAGAAATCACCTCTGGGGGAGTTCCAGAATAACACTGCTCATTCGTTCGGAAGGTAATTTTTGCTATATTCTTTTTATAAGGCTGGATGGTAGACATGCTCACATTCACTTCAAGTAACGTAGTGGATCATTCAATCAAATTGAAGGTGATCATTAAATTTTTTCTTATTTTTCAATTTTACCAGCAATGTTGAATACTAATACTCACCGAAAATTGCAACTGTCCTCAAATCATGAGCTCGAGGACCTTTTACGCCTCTTCCTACAAGCATGTCTTTGAAAAAAACTCGGTTATTGTGTAAATTCATAGGAAAAAGAATCTGGAGATGATGAATCAAGGATGTAATTTGGTCAGTAGATGAGAAATAACACATTAAGAAGGTTCTCACGTTAGGATGTTAGGCGTGACGCGTGACACGCATACTCATTAGAATTTTGAGACATTGAATTTTGGAATCGCTCGCGGGCTAAGGGCTCTTTCACACACGCTCTTCTGACAAAGGTTGTTGTTTTTTTTGTCTTGTCACGGGGGCGGGACAGAGAAAAAAAATTCTGAATTCCGTGAGGAATTGATCCTTAAACCTCCGCACTCACATTCCGATCCTTTTCCACAAAGGAGCACTAAAAGCCGAAGATCTGAGGATAGATTTCTAAGCAGACTTACAATTTTTTTTTGTACCACGCTCGTTAGAAGACAAAAAAAATAGCGAAACTGGGCCTATCTAAATATCTGTCTATCATACCTCATTCTTTCAGATATGGTTTGTGGATCTTCAAAGAATACTTTCCGATGCGTGGAGGCAGTTGCGATTCTTCAATACCAGAACCAGCCAAGTTCTTCACGTTGCTGGCATACAACAACCTTAAAGGTTTCGAAGTCACAAGTGGAGGAGCCATTCAGACAATCAACTTCACAGTGATAGACAACTCTGAGGCTGGACTGGAGTTTACCGATCTGAATGCTCCTTGGGGTGACAATGGACCCTTAGTGAAAGACTCCCTTGTGGTGGGACACAGTGCTGTAAGCGAAGGTCCTAGTGCCTGCACTCTGGGAGGGATCGTAACTCCACAGTCTTCGCACCTCACTGTTTCTGGAACCACGTTTGTAAATTTTGATTCGCCCTCTTGCGCTGCTCTGCGCGCATGCTCATTTTGTGAAGCTAGGCAGGGAGGTTTTACCACGCGATTTGAGAAAATTCGCTTTGTTAGTGCACCTAATAAGGCAGCCTTCAAATGGGAGCACGAAGCTGTATTTGAAGATCTGGATGGTACATTAACAGGTAAGGACGTGAACGTAATACAGATCTTTGTGTCTGTTTGAAAAGGTTAATTTTTAAAACAGATTGCTCAGCCATCTACTCCCACCTTTAATTATAACAGAGTAAAGAAGCGTTTATGTAGTTCTCCAGGGACGCTATTAGGTGCAACCAAAAGAGATTGATGTCCAGTTATTTTCTCTTGGAGCAACTCGCTTGACTTTCAACAGACCTTACCCGTCTTGTCGTTTGCTTTTCCATGGAAGGTCCTATGATAGTACTTAGGGGATCGTGTTTGTTACGAATTTGTCATTACATTTGCTTGAATGATGAGAAAGGATCATTTTCTCGATTATTTTGTATGATCGTCGAAGGCAATAACAATATGATCGACGCGAATAAGGTTTGTCGAGGTTTTGTTGACACTGTAAAGTGTTTATCTTTTCTTATTTTAACAAACAAAATTCATTCCCTATTGCCTTATGGAGTGCAACTCATGGTGAATCATCGGGTGTAACATATCACCATTTCTTGTTTACAACAGGCTTATCTGGTGGCGGAAGCATTCTTCCATCAAATCCCAATCTTCCCCCGAAGCACTGTTCCCAGTCTCCCGCCGCGAGTGTAAGCCGCGTTTCCGGAAGTATATGTGACTCGACCATACGTTTCCGCCGGATGGCATGGAACAATCCGCTTCCTAGTTCCCTGCTCTATCGTGACGCTCTCCTATCCAATGAACACGGAACCAGTTATGTCCCCTGGAGGTTCATGAGGCTCACTCACGATCAAGGTTGGATGTCGACTATTATTCTCGGCCAAAACTATAATTTTAGTTTTGACAACGCTCCTCAACTCACCAACATTTCGTACAGGTAAATGAACACATATTTTAGATAACAGACTTCGATGAAACTGATTATTCTATGATGAGGTCCACGTGTGTTAGAACAGTGAGAGAAAAATAATTATGAGAGGGGAAAAATGATGTTAGTTTTGACTTATAAACCCACTCGCCCACCTCTCCCCGGTAATTCGAAATAGTTGCTTTTCTGTTGTACTTCATCAAACTTATAATTGTCAAGTATTGTAAAATGTTTTATTTTTGCGCGATTAATAGCCAGTGACGATGTTTCCATCCTTGTCCCATAAAAATGTTTTAAATTCCCTTTGACGACTCCTGTCAATAAACCAACGCTAGCGTAAGAGAGAGGTAAGTCAAAATTTTTCCATGCTAATAATGTTTTAAATAATTTCATTTTCTGAAAATGTTTTACCAATTTTGAACCCTTAGCGCTGTATTCTACGAATTTGGTGCCCAAGACTACGTCTGGATGACTCACCCCATGAAGCAGCTTCCAGATATGATTTCAACAACTGGAAGGTATATCAACATGTCCAGCAGTTTACCGTCTCCGAATGCGTCAAATGGTGACTGGTTCTACAACAATGAAACCAAGACACTGACATATATTGTGTCAGGGAAGGGAGGGTTGGGAGTGGGAGCCACAAACATAGATATAGGAATGCACGTGAGTTCATTAGTTATTGTTTATTTTCAATGTTTTATCACAAGTAAATTTGGTGACATTTTGCGTCAAAGAATTATCTTTAGAAATGAGGAAAACTTAAACTGATTGTCTGCTTAAGTAAAGAACATCAAAGAAATAAGGGCTAACCAATGAAGACCGAAAATGATTAATACTGAAGAAGATGGAAACGGATCGTCAATCTCGTTGAGAGATTTAAGCCAACAATTCACAAAACAAACAGATATTTACACCGCTTCTCTGATTAAGATTCAACTTATCCTTACCTGTTCAAACATCAATTAAAAAGCGTTTCAGGGGGACTTAAGTGCCAATTTTATCTTTGAAAATGAAAGACGCTAAGAAATAACGAGGGAGGGAAAAAATCCTCCCTCCTGAATTATGTTAATTTGAAATCAGACAATTTTTTACGTATGAGACTGGTACAGGTAAGCCACCACCCCTTACTAGAATGTTATTCGTTTAAACTTACTTGGGATCTTTAAGCTAATAATAATTTTTGTAATTTGAGCACTCGCGAATTCAACTTAAAATAACTTGAGTTACAATGAGAACTCTGGTTTAAAGCTCGGCTAAATTTCAATATTATTTCTTCTCTGCAAAGGGGAGTGTTCCTTCGATACAAAAGCTTCAAAGCAACGCTTTACTTTCACAGGTTTACCGCTGCTTTTTTAAGGACTGTATCAAACCCATTCCACCTCCACCCCCTGAGAAACGTCCCCTTGAATATCTGCGATGGTCAGACCCGGAGGCCTGGTACGGAACAGATCCTGGATATGGAGGCTACAACAAACAGCTGCCACACGATGGTGATAATGTCATTATCCAACAACGTAAGTGACATAAAACTTGAAAGTCTCATTGAAAATGACCTCATCATCAAAATGAGAAACTAAATATATTTTCTTGGTTGTTGATTTCCGTCTGATTTAGACTGGTGGATGGTAGCGGATACCGAACTTCCCTATATGAGAAAACTTTTCGTATACGGTACCTTAGAGTTGGAGCCTTATATGGACTTTGTTCTTAATGCAACTTACATTGTGATTGGTGAAGGAGGAAACCTTATTATTGGTTGGGAAGATCAACCAATGATAGGCAATGTTCTTATAAACCTAAACGGAAATTGGGATACTCCAGACATTCCAGTTCAAGGCGGTCCTAACATCGGCTCCAAAGCTCTTGGTAAGTGTTAATGAACAAGCCATTCTCTATTTGATTAATGATAGAGTATCACCGTTTGTCTCACCATTTTATTCACTTTCACTATGGATCGTGAAGTTTTCAACTACACATTGCTAGTCTTCTTCAGAAGATGAAGTCGGCAGGCTGCACGTTGCTTCATGAGACCTTAATACTCCAATGTAGTTATTAGTTTTCATTGGTGCACTGTTTATTAAAATTCAACCAAATACAACGGAGGATATTGCCTTATAGGGCGTGCCTCAGAGCGAAAAAAACAACTTCTGTCCATCAATTTTTTTATTCGTTTGTCTTCCTATTCCATGAAATCCTGCCGGTATATCATAAATCAAATGAGTAAATTCTTATTTAAATCCTACTTTTTAACTAAATTTTCTTATAACTCCTCTTATTAAGCTATTTTTGGGAATCTGGAAATGCACGGTCTAAACAGAACAGTGTACTGGACATGTCTGAGCAAAACTGCTGACCCAGGAAACAGCATAATTTATGTAAAAAAGGAGGTGGACTGGAAACCAGGGGAAAAGATTGTGATTGCGCCAACCTCCTATGAACCTTACGACACAGAAATCCATACCATAGGTAAGGGAACTGTTGTTATTGCTTCCGACTTTTTCTTATCTTTCTTTTAAGGACTCTTAAAGAGTGGAAGAGGCACGAATAAAAATTTGACTCTTAACTTTACCTCAATTTTTGTAACAAACTTAGTTTCAATCCGTTTTCACGTTTTATGATGGAGAATAAGCGGTCTTCATTGCATCTGCGAAAAAATTTAGAATGAAGCCTTGATTTTGAAATATCTCGTGCAATTATGGAATGACCCTGAAATTTTAATTCCGGGAAATAATTACGGTTTCTTTTCCCTTTCCAGTTTATGTCTATCCTGATCGGAAGACCCTTCAGCTGAACAACACCCTTAAATATAAACACCTCGCGGAGTCGTATAGCACAGGAACTTGGAACTATTCTCTTGTCGCTGAAGTGGGTCTGCTGACCAGAAACATTGTGATCAAGGGCGCTGATGACGCTGGCTATGTGCTTGATAAACAGTCGTTCGGTAGTCGCGTGTTGATTAGTTCGTTTCATGACATGGTTTCATCTAACAGGAGAGTTCGCATGGAGAATGTGGAGTTTCATCATTGTGGTCAGGAAGGATGGAATGACTATTTTGATCCCAGGTAAAAGAATGGAGATGATTTAAAGGTGATGGTTCACGAGCCAATTTTGCCTCAACGTGTAGCAGGACTTTAAGAGCGATTCAAAAACCGGAAACATATGGTTGTGCGTAACATGCCTTTGCCATCCAGCAGAACATATAATAACAATATGCGTTAAACGCCTGCTTGTGCAATTAATTTATTACCTAAGACAGGATAAGTACATTTTACTTCCTTTTGTAGATATTGTCTGGCACTCCTCGATGTTGGCAATCTTAAGTCATCCTACATCCGGGGTAATTCATTCCATGATGGGTTTAACACCGCCATTGGTGTATTTGGAACACACGAGTTAACTGTCGTCGATAACGTAATTCATCACACAGTTGGCTCATCCGTGAGAGTCTGGGGAACAAATAACAAGGTTCTTCGTAACTTGGCCGTGTTGAGCGTTTCACCAGGTATATCGAGTAACCGATTAACCTGTTTACAGTGAGCAAAGGTGAAACTTAAATTGAGTGGTTTGATATTATCGCAAGGTGGTTAGTCCATTTGATATTACCGCGTGAGAAAAGCTGTTATTTCCTTACATTCATACCTTTCCTTTTTTTATCAGACTCACATTCGAAGATCCGGTGAAGTTGGCTTTACCACAATATCCATTCACTCAAAAATTTGAAAGTACCTGCGGTAGTTGTAAAGATATAGCTGCTTCAAGTGCCTTTGTAAAGTAATCTCAAAATTTTTCTTGAAAGGTTCTCGAATTAACAGCAACTGACTATAAATTTTGGTTAAGTTTTCGAGCATAAAATGTCGTTAGATTTGATTAATAAGACACCTCAACTTGTAGAAAACTTAGTGTGACATGAACTTCCTCTATATTGCAGCAACTTACAAAGGGAGACATGAAGTTAACAATAAACTCTGGCACGCGTCATTTGACATCAGTAAGGCCTCTTCGATCGTCCTCCGAGATAACGCTGCAGCGGGCAGTGAAAGGATTGGGTTCCACATCAGGGGAGAGACCTGCTACAGTGACAGCCCTGGTGGAAGCTGGGAGAGTAACACTGTTCACACAACTCTACACGGGATACATATTGGCTACTCTGACGGTCTGCCTGAATGTTTAAAGATTGCTAATTTTGTCGTTTGGAAAAGCTGGGATTTTGGCGTGTTTGGTTTCCCAACGTCACGAGTTATTTTACAGGATACTGTTGTGGTGGATAATAATATAGGTAACGAACTTATCAACATTCGTTTGTTTAGCAGGCTAGATGTTACTGCATTTATCTCATACCTCTTTTTTTAAGTGTAACTTTTAAACATGCTAGCCTAACAGAAACTTCTTTTTTGGAGTAATTCTGGCAGGACTTAAGGATCAATACCTGTGAAATGAAAGCTGATCTGAAACAAGTTTTATTAAGAAAAGACAGTTTTAAAGAAATGACTGATTTTTTTTTTCATATGTTTTAGCCCAAAACAAATCGTACCACTCATAATACGACGCAGTCAGTAAATTCTATGTAACATTTGCATTTTTGTTGAAATTCCATTATGTTCGTTCAGTATTGATATTTTCCATTACCAGGAATCCTCATAAATGTTTGGAGACCACCTGCACTCTCCCACGTGACCGCTGACAAGTTTGTTCATCTTGATCGAGTTCTAATAGTCGGCACCAGTCCAAGTTTTGACTGTGCTAGTGACTCGATAGCGCCTCGAAACTCTCATATCACCAAGCAAGTTCGCGCGCCGCGCTACAGAGGAGGCGGTAACACTGGTTTTATGCTCTCAACATTTACATCAGGACCCGGTCTGGCTCCTGAGAAAGCCTGGCACGGCATTAACGCTTATCCAGCAATAAGGGGAGTTGTAAGACTAAATAACGTTGGATTTTCTTATTTTGGAACCCAGTGTGGTCGTGACAGTGTCGTATTCACCACCAATCCAAAGTCCCCAGATGCATTCCATCCCGTCGAAGCACGCGGCATTTCCTTACAAAATGTTGATAACGATAAGTTGATTTATATACCACCCTCAAATATCGCCTGGATAAACCCCTCTGACTGTATCGATATGGACTGCGATGGAGCTAAGCATGTTTTGATTAAGGATTTTGACGGAACCCTAACTGGTACATCCGGCGGAAGTGTCATTTCCAAGGCTGATTATGAGTGGAACGGAGATCCGCGGAGAGGACTGGGTAATTCATCATTGTGCAACAAAGTTTTATCGGTTACGATTTTTGTGTTGTAGTATTGTCAATAGAACCTTACCGTGTATAACTCCTAAAATGCTGTTGTGTAGTTAAGATGAAGGAAGTTGCGCTCTAACGAGAGAATTTTTTAGAGACCTGTCCTTCCGATAAGCAACAAAAGGGGGATTAAAATATTTTTGCGCCAGGTTATTGTTGCCTGAAATAATCTGGTATTTTAGGTAAGTTTTGGCCTGAATTGAGCCATTTATACGTCATGTCGTAAATATGTCCTTTAGAAAACAAAGTGTAGACAATTGTTTTGATTTTTGTAGCTGTTTCGGACACTATAGGTTGTGTTATGGGATTATAGAATTTCCCGTCAGAGACTTGTTCGTAACCCTCCTGAGACAAAGTTGAATTTGGCAAATCGACTGAGAAAACCTGATTCCAGTTACTTGATCTGTACTTGGTATCATGTAAAGTCTAGTTTGAAGTTAGAACTATTTTTTACTTGAGAAACAAAAAGGCTTTCAATGCACATTACCATTTAAATGTTAGTCTTCCGTACTACTTCAGGGGATTACCGCATGCCTCGAGCCTTACTCACGTCACCAGACGGTTCGCGGTTGAACGCATCTGTCGTGGCACCGCGTCATGGAATTGTGCGAGGGACGCATGCACAGAATTTTTGCTCATGGAATGCAGCATGGAATGGATACAAATGCAGCAAGCTAGGTAAGAAAGGAAGACACTTAACGTTTTGTTTATCGGAAAATTGCAGCAAAGGAGAAAATGTAAAACTAAACGCTATTTTTTATTTCTACCGTCTACGTAGACTACCACATGTTCATAATAGAGAGCTTGGACGCTGACACAGAGCTTCGTAGGCTTTCTCCAGTTGCTCTATCGTCCAATGGATACACAGATTTGCTTAACGGACCAATGGATCATGGCTGCTGCTTTGGATACGCATGCATGGAGAGAATATCGACATTCTTCTCTATCGTGGCAACACAACAGAACTATACTATCTATTTCACGGGTGAGAAACTCCCTCGATGAGCGTAAACATTTTGTCCTTATCGTTTTCGTTTTGATTTATATGAACTGATTTTCGTAAGATCCATTCTTGGGGGGGAGAAATAAGGGAGAATTGGAGAAACTAGTTTGTTTTCGAATTGCCGAAGGATAATTTTCATCTGTTTATCATCAACGTTTGTTTCGTCATAGTCTGATATCGTGTTTTGCTATAATTTTCGTAATCTACTTTTTGCTTTCCGTAAATGCAGCTTTTTAATTGGATACAAAAAGATATCTTACGTTTCTTGGCTTTTCTACATTTCTCAGGCACTAATCCTCAAAGCCTTCGCCTAACGTTGCTGAACGCCAACGGCTCCCAAGCTCTTCGAGTTGCTATCAGATACACCACACCTCAGCGGTTGGACGTATATCGCACAGGCGCTTTCATATTCCCAACCAATGCAAATTTCAACGAGGAAAACTTTAGCTACAAAAAGAAAGATCCTAAGCTCCCGGATAACCAGTTTGAGCCGACCTTGAATAGCATCAGCGGAGCCAACTATTACGATCGAGAAAGCCATCTACTTTATGTGGTAGTCAAAGGAAATGTTCCTGTGGACATAAGAACTGCTCCAGTCGTACAAGTTAAGCTCGGTGAGTATCTCAGTTATTCTAGGCAATGTGGATTTCGTATCACAAAAGATGAAATTGCGTTTGTGTGAATCCTATTACTTCAATTTTCCGCAACAAATCTAGGGCTGAGACTGTACTTATCGACACTTTAGGGAATAAAATGTTTGGATCCCTTAACTTTTATTTATTTATTTATTTTTGTATCTTCTAGGAAGCAAGCCTGTCCATTTCAACGACTTCTTCGAAAAGAATTTAGTTCAAAATATGGCCTCGCTCCTTAATATCGACGAGTCTCGCATTCGCGTAGTCGAAATCGTAAATGCCGCCGAGAAAAACCGAAGACGACGAAGAACTTCGAATGATGAGGTGATGACAGTCACGATCGAAATAGGCGACCCGCCGGAACGTCACATATCTTACACACCTGAGAATACATTTGCCCCTGGAAATTCCTCGTAAGTAGCTCATACGCCAACCTTTGTATTGTTTAAACAACATGCAACCATCATATCACGCATTACCCTGTGGTTTTTTTTCACAGTTCCACTAGTCCTCCTTTTGTTACCGCCACAACAACGGCCTCTCCTACCATGAGCCCCACTGAACAGTACATAGGTCTCCAGTCCTTAGCTTCCAAAACTGTAGAGGCAGCACAAACAGGGCGCATGGCTTCCTCTCTTAATTTGGACATTTTATCGATTGAGGTTACGGATCCCGAGCCTCCACGAAAACTCCCGGAAGGATGGAAACGAGCGACACCCGAAGAAGGTATGTAATACTTTATGAGCTTTTAGGGGGAGCTGGATCCAAAGCTGCAAATGCAACGACACAAGATAGCTTCTTTAGAAACAAGAGGCTCTCCGTAAAATAAAACAACACTACCACCAACAAAAAAGATTTTGATTATCTAATTTATACCTGCTTTATCAGCCGGACCAAAGAATGGAACATGGCGGTTTGATCAAGTCGAAATGATGAAAGAAGGCAACAAGTCCAGTCCGGTGTATGATTACCTGATTCCTGCTCGACTTGTTGTAGTACAACAACCTGGTGGAGCCAATGAAACTGTTCCTTTTCAAATTCAACCCAAATTGCTGATGGTTGATAAACTCAACCGCACCGTAAACATGCTGGGACATAGTGACCGTGAACAATGGTAAGATTCTCAAAGCGCTTTGTGGTAATTCCAAGCAACTCACTTTCGACGCATAATCAAAGGATATAGCTAGTGATTTACCATACTAATTTCAAAGAATTGTCCTGATATTGTTTCACCCAATTATAAATAGCATCCCCTTCTCCCTTGGAAACTGAAGCTGTGTACTCCAGCAGTTGGTGAGGAACGGGATTACTCTAATGATCAATGTAACTTTTCTGAGAAGAACATTGCACACTCACTCTTTCATGTCTTAAAACTTGATGCACGATGATGCCATGGTGAAGAGTTGGGAGGTGTACAACTGCTTAAGATACTGTAGTTAGATAGCATCAATTCATTTCTGCCATGAATATTTTCAGGTATGTAACTGCGTCAATCAAGAATGGCACCGGGGACCCTGGTGCCTTTTTGGGTGGAAACACGACTGTACCGTTCTATGATGGCTGGGCAAACTTTACTAATCTTAACATTAGCCACAACGGCACAAACTATGTTCTAGAATACAGAGTATCCCTTCCTGCTGAAGCAAGCTTTACATCTTTGTCGAAGCCTTTTGAAGTCAAAGAAAGAATCTTGTATTTTGCGGTCGTAAGACACCCAAGTGATGCCAACGAGACCGTTCTTTTTGGCCAGCAGCCTTTGGTTGAGGTCCGTGACGCTGCTAATGGCGAGCTAGTGACGAACACGGGGTGGAAGGGGAGGAAGTGGATTTGTAGGGCGTCGCTACTTGATTCAAAAGACTATAAAGGTAGCTATGTGGTTATTAATGGAAGGCTCTTTATCTAAAGAAAATTTGAGCCGGCCCCGGCCCCGGCCCCTGCCCCGGTTGTTCGAAGGTCGGATAACGCTATCCACTGAATAGAACTCTATCCGATGGACAAAGCTATACGTTAAGCTATCACTTATCCGCTGGATAGCGATTTATCCGTTGGATAGCGTTATCCGCCCTTTTTACAACTGGGCCCAGAAGTTTATTAGACAAAAATGCCTCAGACCGTTAGCTCACATCATGCACTGAGTTGTCTGCAATTTAATCGATCTTTTAGGCATCAAATTTCCTGTCTTAAATATGTATGGTTTTTAATTGGCATTTATTTAAGGAGCAAAGATACCGTTCTCAATCTCGACTACGAAAAATATTATGGTCAAAGATGCAAGAACAAAACGTATACTTTTAATTCGATTGACCAATATTTGTCGATGTTCCTTAATTCCACTTCCAGGAAGCCTGACTGGATCATCCAGTGTAGAATTTTCTGGTGGTATCGCGTCATTTCTTGATCTCGCCATTGACCATGAGGGAAATAACTACATTCTCATTATCAAAGCTTTCACTATTCCATCATCTCGTTACCAATTCTCAACTAACACCACTCCTTTTGACGTGAAAGAGAGGATCTTGGAACTGGTTATTACTCAGCAGCCAGGTAAGTGTAGGATCTATGATTCAAATTCATTTCAATTACAAACAAATTTCTATTAAAGTCGAAGGCTGGTCCCCTCAAAGTATGAAACCCAAACTTTTATACATTTTCAAAGTTTACATTTACGTTATGGTGTCAATAAAAGAAAAATTTTCAACTTTGAAGAATATGCGCACTTTTGCTTCGATCGTATAAGGAATGGTTAAATGTCTTACTCTTGTAATTGATGGATTTATAACCCAATCTCTATAACCTAAAACCAAAGCTACCAGTATTTTCTTGTTCTAGGAGACTGCAATGATACCGTTCCATGCGGCCACCAACCTGTGCTCGAGATCCGAGACGCTGCCACGAACGTATTGGTTGGAAATCTAGGCTGGCGCCGTCGAACGTGGACAATTCTAGCTTCAATGGAAGAGGGAGCTGGAAACCAGGTGCTTCTTGGCCAAAGGAAATTCCAAATACCAGTTTCAGGGCGCGTGGAGTTCTCAAACTTTAGTTTTTATGATGTGGCAACCAATTATCGGATGAAATTCAACGTGTCGGTCAGTCCTCACTCACAAGCATACTCCGGAATATTGGCCATATCGAATTCATTTGACGTAAAACCAAGGCAGTTTTATCTGGAGGTCGTCACACATATAGCCAATGCGAATCAATCTGTACCATTTGGTACCCAGCCAGTGGTGGAAGTTCGAGATATGGGAACGAGTAGAAGGGCCGCACCCTTGAAGACTCCATGGTGGGTTACTGCGTCACTACATGCCAACCCCAAGCCTAGAGATTCTTTCTTGAATGGAACGTTTAATGTTTCAGTAGAAAAGGAGCGAGCTGTGTTTACTAATCTTCTTGTATCCTTGTACGGGCTTGGTTATGTATTGAGGTTTGAATCTAGCTACGGACATGTCGTTCTATCAGCGGCGTTCGAGGTAAGCCACTAGTGCAATGCAGTTATCAATGAATCATGATTGAAGGCGTTGTTCTGTCCTTAACATTTTCTCAAGTTTTTTCACTTGTGTATACAACTACCCCTCTACTTACATACTAAACCCCCTACTTCCTATGATCCGCAATGGTATCTATTTACCTAATCAAACATCTTCCTCCATCCTACCTACCTACTAACTTACTTACCTACCTACCTATCCATTGGGCTGCCTACCTATTTACCTTCCCCTTTCCCCTTTCAACTTACTGCAAACCTGCCTCATCATACAACTACCATTTATTTCCTCTCTCTTAGGTCCATTACGTCAATGATTATTCTCCAGTGTTCACTCCAGGGAACCGTACAGTTCATGTTGACGAAGGAACAGCCATTGGGTCATTTGTCATCGCGATCCATGCGACAGACAATGATATCGGAAGTCAAGGTGATGTCTATTATGCCCTCGACGCAGGAAACATCGACGAAAGCTTCCTTATTAACAGGACCTCTGGTGTTATAGCTACTGCGCAGAGATTAGACCGCGAAACAACTGCTGTTTATAACCTGAAAGTGAAGGCTTACGACGGAGCTGTTGAGGAGAAAGTTCGTTTCTCCTTCGAACTTATTGTGGTTCATATTGGCGACCTTAACGATAACGCCCCGCGGTTTACCAAAAATGGATTTGCATCTCGGGTAAACGAAAACGAAAACCTTAATGACGTAATTCTTCATGTGGACGCAATGGACCGCGACGCAGGAGCAAATGCCAAGTTAAGGTTTTCTATCACATCAGGAAACAGTGACGGTTATTTTGACATCAAAGCTGAAACAGGGGACATTATTGTTAAACGTTCACTTGATTTAGAGGGACCAGCTCCACCATCACTGAATTACAGCCTAGGTAAAGCAATATTTTATTCACCTTCGTAATGAAAACAGTCTCCATTAGTGCCCCTTTGCAATCCTTGAACCAGTTTAGAGAACATTTGCAAAGTTTTACTGAAGCAACCAAATTTGAGAAAGAGCGTTTTCTAATAGATCATCAATTTGAAACAGTAACGTATCTGAATTGGGAGGCGCCATAGGCAAGAGGTACTTATTCTCTATTTACTGAAGAATTCACTCTGTTTTGGTGCATTTCAGGTGTTTATGTGACCGACCTAGGATCACCTCCACTAAGTAACTCCACCACTGTGGTAATAAACATCGCACCAGTAAATGAGTTTTCGCCTCAGCTCACTCACGACCAATCAGCTGTTGTTACCGTAAAGGAAAACTACGATCCTGGAAATGGACTTGTGTTGATGGATGTGAATGCTACTGATAACGATTTCGGAGTGCAAGGTAAAATGGAAAGGTTTACACAAAAACATTTTACAGATTGGTAATACAGAACCAGAATAACTAAGTATCAAGGGACTGGCTAATGGGGTTGTTTCAACACGAAATTCTTACATTATTTGTTTATTCCTTTATTGGACATCTCTTCGCTTTCCTTGGGGCATAGAACGTAAAAAGCCGTTTATGATATCTGAAAAGAAAAGGAACGTAGATCGCTCAAAGATATCTTGTCAAAACGAAACTCTGAGGGAGTTCATTTCGGATTTAATTGTTGCAATCACAAAACTTCAAAGGGAAGCCTGTGTGTCTGTCAAGATTTCCTTAGCCTGAAAAGGTAGACACTCATTTAGTTCTTCGTAAACTACAAAATAAACGGCTAGAATAAGGCTTTTACTTGAGATCTAGCCCTACTTTATGTGAACCTTGAATTACCTGCGCAGAAATAGTTTTAAAACTATTCATACTTTGTGAGGTTATTGAGAACGTTGCTTAAATTATCCGCTATGATTCGAGCAGTATTTCTTACTTATGCATGGTTGTTTACATCACTCCGCAGGTATTGTTCATTATTTCATCTACAGTGGTGACAGCGACGGAACGTTTGTGATTAATAGTTCTTCTGGAGTTGTGACGTTGACTTCATCTCTGGATCACGAGACATCACCCCTACACAGGCTAATAATTCGTGCATCAGACAGTGACCCCACTGGTGGTGCGCGATACACTGACTTTGACCTGCAGGTCCATGTGGAGGATGTAAATGACAATAATCCATTGTTTTCAAACAATTTAACTACAATTCAAGTGCCCGAGACTCTTTCCACAGGTGAGGCGAAGCGCACGGCGAAAACTTTTTTTTTATAAGAATTAGAGAAAAATATATAACTTTTTTCCAAATTGCCGCCGTTTGTGTGCAAAATATAAATATAGTTTCTATTTGATCTTTTTCAACTTATTCCGTGATTTACTAATCAACCTCCATATAGAGCTCAAATATCAGACTGGTGTTCGCTGAAAGTCATGACTGTCTCTTTCACAGGGTCTTAGATATGTTTTATGTCCCCCGTGACCTCAAATTAACTTCCTCGTCTATGTCCACGTTAAACATAAAGGAACCAACACCTCTTTAAAACCTCTCTTTCATTGGTTCTTAAACGTTAATCTATCGTTCCATGTCTCTCATTTCAGGTGAAAAGGCTACAACTTTCCTGGCAACCGATCTCGACTCAGGTGAAAATGGGCGTGTGAGTTACGTCATCACCGCTGGGAACTTGGAGGGCTACTTCGGTTTAAGTGCTGACACTGGAGACCTGACGTTACAAAAGAGCCTTGATCTGGAGTCTTCGCAAGCACCTTACCCAAACTTCACACTTGTGGTCGAGGCAAAGGATCATGGGAATCCTCAGTTGTCTAACAATGTTACATTTGTGTTGAAAGTCAAAAGTGTGAATGAATTTACTCCTGAGTTCATTCACCCTGGTCGTTCCTTGCAAATTCCAGAAGATACCGCTGTTGGAACGCTTTTATGCCAAGTCACAGCCAAAGACAAGGACTTTGGACCTGATGGATTCATAACGTGAGTTTTGTAGTTGTATTTAGTAGAACAAGTTTGTTTCAGAGCTCACTTTAATTCATATAGACATAATGAAAGGTTTGATATCCTACGCATGAATTTCTGCTCGATCACATTGTATAAATTGTACCACTTCGTAACAATTCCGAGGACAGTCATTACCAGATAAACTCTATTCGATTTGTTGTTTGTCCGGCTCGATTTTAGTAAATATAAAAAAAACCGTAGTAACTTGGTGTGAATTTAATACCAACTTATTATTCATAGTTATCAGAAGAAGGACAACAACTTAAGGATTGTATCGCATCAGGGGGTTAAGGCCTCAGGTTCATGAGATGATGATACAGTGGGGTCTTGTTAAACCCAACCCAGATATCTTGAACTTGGGCTGGTTGAGTGTGCACCTGCCTCATAGTTGAAAGGTTAACCACAGATACTTTGCGTCGCGAAGTGGGACCCAAGGACGGATGGAATTTTTTTAGTGGTTGTCGACTTCAGCTAATCAGCGCTACCACTGTATTTAAGTGAAGGGAAACAATTGAGTCAACGTTTGCGTGCTAAGAATTTGTGGGTTTAAGCAGTGTGGTAATTAGTGTGATTTACAGAGCATGTTCCGGAACTTAATTAACGGTATCCCTTATCTTGATCTTTTTGGTGATCTTCAGGAGTGAGGAGACAACTGGACCTCTCTGTGTAAACGTTTTTTGAATAATACTTTCTATTTGCAAATTCAGATATCACATACTGAAAGGAAACGAGGATAGGCGTTTTCGGATCGAGTCTTCGTCTGGAAAAATATTCATTCACGCTCCATTGGATCGAGAGACAACTTCAAGGTACCAACTGGAAATAGAGGCTTCTGACTGGCCTGTTAAAATAGTCAATCAACGTTCGTCTATCACGTTTGTGAATTTAAGTCTAACGGATATCAATGATAACAAACCAGTTTTCAGCAAAGGTTCTTACTACGTCGCTGTCAAGGAAACTGTGAAAGTAGGCAGTGACGTCTTCACAGTGCGGGCGAGTGATACTGACGCAGGTATGTAATGTTTAAGCCTGAAAGTGGAGCTTAAGCCAGCTGATTTTTTTTTCTCGCCTTCATAAATTTAACTAGCCAGGGAGAAGAATTCGGAGGGAATTCAAATTAAAACCAATTATTTCCGTAATAAAGTACTAGTTTGTGACCCTAAATAACCGCTTCTGACTGTCCCAATATTGTGAAAATCAAAGTGTTCATTTCAGTGCGTGCACCACTTCGGGAGCTGCTTTCATTCTTCGCAAAAAGAATATTACGATTTTACTATTTAGCATTTGACACATAAATCTGTTCGGCGCGACAACCAGATCATTCCGACTTTAATGGTTTGCATATTTTCGTAAGTACGGGAGTTAGGTTTGCTGGTTTCGCACTCTACAACTCTACTTAAATGTTGTTCATGTGAATGATCGTGATATGAAACTCTGTGACGCAAAATTGAAAATCATATCTTTAAATCTAGGGCTTCTTTGCTCTTTCTTCTTTCTAGAGGAGTTGATTTTTCTAAAAAAAAACGGTTGAAGAGTGAAATCAGTCGGAAAAATAAACAACTCATTTGTATTTAATTTACTAATTATGTTGACTCTGTTTTAGGTTCAAATGGCCAAGTTGAGTACAAAATCAAGTCAGGTAACAACCATGGCTTCTTTGAAATGAACTCCAACACTGGAATAATAACAATAAGAAAAAGCCTTGATCTGGAGACACAGCAACACGTGGACGATCTTCTTTACACCCTCACTGTCGAGGCATTGGACAAGGGTCAGGTGCCACTGACCAGTGAGGTGCTGGTTACCATAGAAATAGTCAGCGTGAACGAGTTTGCACCACAGTTACAACATTCCGCAAGTATTTACGTAAAAATACCTGAAGACACTGCTGTTGGTTCCATTGTTGCGGACATCAATGGCACAGACAGAGACTTCGGAATGGACGGACAACTTAGTTATTCTATTATAGGTGGTAACGAAGACATCAATTTTGATATCAATTCCAAAACTGGTGTGATCATGGTCAAAAAGGATCTGGACTATGAAACAATCGTGAGATACACCCTTGTTGTACGTGTAAGCGACAACGCTCCATCAGCTCAGCGGCTTTCCACGGTTGCTAAGGTGACAGTTCGACTCACCAATGTGAATGACAGTGGAGGCGTGGATGTGCTTATTGAAGATGTGATCAGCAGGATAAGTCCTCCAAGGGACCCTGCTGTTGCAGTTGGCGTTGCAATCAGTAGTCCGATATCAGTACTGTTGCTGTATGAAAACGGTGAGATATGACGACACTAGATCGGAGAGAGACCACAATCAGAGAAACGTTTTCTTGTAACTGTTGATCTTTTAATCCAAGTTGTCATAGTTTTTAAATCAAAATTTTCATGTACAGGGATAAAAGTCTTCACTCATTAACCAACATTCTCTCTTTTCATTGCTATCCAAGAATTTGGAAATGATTCGGCTTAAATCCTTTTGTTATTCAAAGGGAAAATACTTTACTCTTCAATTATGAAACGAGGCATTATACTTCTTTATGTCATGACGCCGTGTGAATGTAACCAATCATTGTGTATTGAAAGGTTTCAAGAACGCTGACGAGTATTTCCTGTCAACAGGTAACCGAGAAAAGCTATCTGACGATGACAACAGATTGACATTTGACGACAAGTCAGAATCACGTGGTCTGTTCTCAGTTGTGTCGGCTGATGGCAAGAAAATAATTGCAGCAAACCTCCAGGGATTACTGGGTCATGGCGTTCTTATTGTTCGTGTTCATAACATTTACAATGTTCGTGTCCAAGTCAACGTAGTTGGGTTTTCCTCTCTACAGCTATCAGCTGTACCTTATCCAACCACAAAAAACTCAGAAGTAACCTTGAAATCGCTAAAGCGCGTAGGTAATCGTCATGGCAACGTCCAGTCGGCTTCTCTTATTCTGTACCTCATTTTGACGGATAACTCCACTTATGACGTTACCAAGATGATATCAGCCTCCTTCAATGTCATAAGCAATGACGTGGGTGTTAAAGCCTTGGTGGGACCCAGTCCGAGAAATGTGTTGTTTGTAGAGAGTGTAAGCACCAGCGGGAACATAAGTCTTATTGGTATGTTCTCCGGGAGAGCGTCTAGTACTCTTAGGCTTGAAATTTCAGCTGAGGTAATAACTGTCAATGAAATAGTTGCTGTAGAAATAACTGGACTTAGGAATCAAACTCTTGTTGGTCCTGCGTTTGCAACGCAAGGTCAGGTACAAGTGGACTTTGCTATGAACGACAGCTCCACGTTTAGGGTGCAGAATTTCTCTAAATTTCCTGGACTTGTTACATTCAAAAGCAGCCAGAAAGAGGTGGCTTTGGTTGATAACATGACTGGTGTTGTCACGTTGTTATCAGATTATTATGACTTGGTAACCGTGACAGTGACTCCGCTTCAGGGCCAAGCTGAGCCACAGAGATCTCAGTTTTATTGCAATACAGTACCACCAGTGGGTGGTGTTGATATTGGACAAGAGTACGGCCCCGCAATACCAGCTTTGAAAGCTAACCAGCGAATTACCATCCCTGTCCGCGTGAATCCAGGAAAAGCAAAACTTCTTGCGTTTGACGTAAAGATTTCGTTCGACGAAAGTCAAGTCCATTTTGTTGAATTGAAGAGAAGTTTTGCATACTCTTACAATTACGGTCAGTTGCATTTAGCAGATCTGACAAACCCTGAAAATGCTATCTCACATGTTGCCGATCTAGTTTTCGACTCCTTGGATAATGGTGTGCCTACAATACAAGGAACAGTGAACATTTTAATGGATCAAAACTTGGGTTTCATAGCGGGAGACTATTCACCAACTCTGACGATATGCCAGAACTCAATGCTGGGAGATGTCAACGAAGACTGTGTGTTTAACATCAAGGACGCAGCTTTCACTTTAGCGCACAGCTTGGCAGTGGAAGATAACTTCAACAGTGAGTTCGGGAAAATGATGCTGAGGCGAACAACCAATAAAATGGTAAGCGCATAAATTGAAAATACGTTCATTACTTTTATCTGATCCCTACATTTTGGATTTTGGATAGCTTGTGACTTTGCTATTGCCATTGGCGTGCATAATTCCTGAGATCTTGTTTTAACGCTTTAGAAACTTTTAAGTTGGGCAGGATGTCGCGATATAAGAATAATTTCTTGTGAAGCAGGCAAACTGCCTTCAAACTAGTAAGAACATACCGTAGATATTCTTGACGGGACACAAAGTGGATGAACGATAACGCTTATTGAGAAAAATAGCTAAGACATGAGACGGAAGAGACCATTAGTTGCCACACCTTCAACCGTAAAATATATTTTAAGATTTCCGCTATATCTCTTTCCTTTCTGCGTATTCTAACCCTAGTGGAACTTATTAAGACCCCTACTCTTAGGACCCTGTACTTTCTCTTTATAGCTTCAAGTCATGGATTTCAACCTAAATGGAGTTCCAGAACGGGACGATGCCTACCTGTTAGCACGTGCAAATATGGATATGGTGCGATTCTTAAAATTCTTTCATACGAGCGTACCTGATCACCGAAATAATTCTACAAACTGCGAGTTGGAAATAACAGCTGAGTTGAGCGCTCGAGATGGAACCAAGGAGACAAATACTGACACCCAACTATACTTTGAGTTTGCTAGTGGATCGGACATCTTGAATGCACAACTTGAAAGCACCTCATTCGACACAGGAGAACTGATAGCGACTTACGATCAAGAGCACGAGTTGTTTGGAGGTATCGTGAAGGCTGGACATCGAGGCGAACGCTTTATAGTAATGACTAAACAGTCCCAAATAGAAACGGAAAACTTAGGCGTGTCCATGATTCAGGTAACGAAGGGTGCTAAATGGCGGGAGCCAGTGGTTACACCCCTTTTTACGTTTTCGCGTGATCCAACGTTCCCTGCACCAATAACAGTTCAATTGGCGCCAAACGCTGCCCTTGTGGTCACCAGTGGACACTCACCTCAGATAACTGTCAACGTTTCAGAATCATTTACAACTTGTCTTGATCCACCTGTCATGAAAAACGTTATGTTTGTTTTCCGAAACGATTTCTCAGAGGTCGAAGGAAACAAAGACACTTTTATGAAAACGTTCATAGAAGACTTAACTTCAAAATTCCCACATGCAAAAATTGATAATGTGAGACTCGCACGAGGTAGCATCCTGGTCTATTTTGACATTACGGCTCAGATATCTCAGATGGATAACGCTCTAGTTGCATTATGGGACATGATCAAGTCAGGGTACACCTTGCGTGTGAACAACACAGAATATCAAGCTCAAATGGTTATGCGCGTAGATGGACAAGATTATCACCGTAATGATAAGGTGTCTCAAACAGAGGAAGACCGATCAAAATTTCCAACGGCTGCAGTGACCGCGATATGCGGGGTCGTCGCTCTTGGTGTTATCATAGGAGTGGCGTTCTTCTTATGTAGGAAACGCGTTCGTCAAGCAAAAGGTAAATTTTCGTGGAAAAGCGCATCAAAAATCAATATCATCGATTCGCACTCAGCCACGCAGATGAGTGACAAAATGGGAGGTACTGAGATGATTCTGTTCAGCGAATTAACCAATGACTGTTTCGAGTCTTCGGACAATGAAACACCTCCACCGTCGAGGCCCTCTTCAAGAAATACTTCAGCGCAAAAGGGTAACTTTTTCAAGCGGAAGGTACGCAAAGTGAATTCTGCATCTTCTCAGGCGTCTATTGAGGCTTGGTCAGAGAATACCTCTCCTGCACTTGTTAGGCGCACTCCGCAGCTTGCACTGTCATCTCCCACGATTGACGCCAACTTCAGGGATGCATCGATTCTTAGTAGACAGACGGTGAAACATAAGAGTGACAGCCAAATTTTGGTGCAAGAGAACTCCTCAACTGAAGGCTCACCGATAAATTTAAGCCCGCAAACGCCAAAACGAAGACAATCACCACAAAAGCTACGAATGCGAGCCCAAAATGGTGCGTCTTTTGGCAGTGATTCATCAGACGAAGAGTTGACAAGGAATGGGACGCCATCTTCGGCTGACTCGGGTACTCCCACAAGCAAATCTTTGAAAGACCAGAGCCGTCGGCATTTTATTTTTGAGAAAGCTGTTTTGTACAAGAGACTGATGGCTCAAGAATCACGTAAGTTTATGTAGCCTGCTCAAATAGGTGCCAAAATAAACTGATATTCGTAGTAAAACATTTTGATTCCAGCTATGTTAGATATGTTTTTGAGAGGTAAAAAAGGTAATTAAGCAATTTCTTCATTAAGGCACTCGACGTAGATCATGAACAAGAGCTATGATATCTGAATTTGAATAAAAACTATCTAAAAAACAATTAGTATCAGGATTTTGAGTCTGGAAAAAGTATTTTTTGAATTAAAAAAATAAGAAATTACCATTCATATACTGCAAGGTAACAATCAACTTTACTATTTCTCTGAAAATGCGCAGTTGTATGTTTCAAATAGATAACATATTTTCGCCGCAGTATGTTACATCTTCGAACTTCCTTTTCTTGCGCATATCTCTGACTTATTAAAAAGGTTTTCACGGATGTCAAAAGTGTCAAGAAAAAATAGGATACTTGATCTCCCTTTCATGATCAAGTAGACGGGGAAACTGAGTTATCTCTTTGTATGAGACGCTTAAGTCAATGTCATAGAGCCGTCTTATTCCTTGCAGCTCAAACAGGATCGCGGGATTCTAGTCGCCCATCTTCCGGTCACAGTACACCCAGAATGAACGTCACCTCGCTTCCTCCTGGATACATGGGAAACAATAACGACGGGAATGACATCACAGTAGAGGGTGAGTCATTTAGTTCACTTGAAATTTTCTTAATCATTTCTAGTTTAAGTTCCTTCACCCTGTTATCAGTATGCATTTTCTCCATACTATTCTCTCCTTCTTAGCATTATTTCGTTAAGTGCTGAGAAGGAGAATTTGTTGAACAATCAAGTGCTTCTTAAGTTGGTGATCATTCGGCCTCTGCTTCCTATGACCTTAATGTTTGATTCAGGGGTGATAAGGAGAAATTAGATGCTAGTCAGTATTAGTGGTGGAAGGGTCAACAGACGACCACGCTTTTCGTTTGAACGTAGTGCAAAACCACAACTGCAGCAATAATCAAGATCATGCAAATCAACTCTTGAGAAAACTCATACTCGATGATTTAAACAGTCTGAAGCGCAAGAAAAAGCGGCTTACAACGTAACGACTACTTTTGCATGTAGTGTCGCTTGCAGTTGGCTCACGCAGTGTACAAATTCTTAAGAACAATCAGAGTGCCAATGCAACCCAATATTACCTTCGACAGTTAACTTTTCAATTCCCAAGATCTTATTGTTAATTTCCCCACTGGCAGCCACACATTCCTTTGTAAAGTAATTGCGAGAAATTGGTGGGAGATCAAGACAACAACTTCAACCTGATGAGTTTAAGTGTTCTCATTGTCTGTTTTCTGTACGAGGTATTACAAGTTGAACACTCCTGTGAATTAAAGGGTAAATTAAGGTCTGTTCCACGCAGTCTATTGAGAATTTTTGTCGAACTTATACTAAAAAACTCAGCCCGCGTAGCATGTTTGAATCGTGTCATTCATGATCATGTCAAACGGTGAGGTCTCCGGGGAAATTAATGTTAGATGGTGCTTGTTCTAGGAGCCCTTTTGTTGATAATTCTTTTTGAACTGTGTCAATTCTTTTTAACAATAGAGGAGTCATACACTGTCAGACTTCCCGTGAATGTCCTCAACACAGTCGCTGAAGGAGAAGGAAGAAAGCCTTTCACGAAAATCGGCTTCGTCGAGTTTCCTAGCGATGCTACCCTTGGTGACATTCGGGAAATATTAAAGAGGGAATTCTTTGAAACCCTTCTTGAGCGAGTTTTCCTATTCCAAGATGCCATGATGGCTGATGTGGAACCATCCAGCGAGGCGACAACCAAGAGCATGTATAACTTGTCGGTAATCATCAGATTTGCCAACAAACAAGGTAAGGAAAAGTAAAATGCGCTAGGGATAGCAGTGTGGGAGCAGGTTGAATTGAAGCCAAAGTAATCTCTCGCTTCCAACTTTGTTTAGGTTGAATTTGTTTTTCTTTTCTAATCTTCAGAAGCAGCACTTTTATTTTGCCCATGCGGCGCCGCAGCTCATTTCCAGTGCTCTGCGTGTCACAAGCGTGGTTACTGTGGTCGAGACTGTCAAGCGAAGGACTGGCACCGGCACAAGATCACTTGTGAAAACGAACAGGTCTCTAGTGTGTAAAAGTTCCACGAAGGAAAAAAAAATACATACAGCGCTACTTATTTACGTGTGACCTCGTGTTATTCCGTCTTGAGGTGTTGATTTTTGTTTCAGTGCCGATGTAAAGAATTTGGCGTGATAAAAAAAATGTGGCTTCAGTAGACCAAGAAAATAATCTTTAGGTCAAAAGGCATCTTCCAATGAAGTTACTTGTGATCCGAGGTAATCTTTTCACGTCGTTGTTTTGCAGCTCTCTCTCTTTTCCCGTGTGTTTTGTCTTTATGCAACCAAACTTTTGAAAGTAAATTTTTAACGCTCAGAGCGCTCCAAAGGTCAAGATATTTAACTCTTTAAGGGTGTAAGTTCTTGGGATATTTTTCACGGACACAGTACTGAAAATGTGAAATAAAGATAAATAAATAAAATTTAAAATCTGCGCAACATCGTACATTGTTCGAATATATATATCATATAATGTTGGATGTACTCAAAATCACGAACACCTACTCTGGCTTTTAATTGTCGTGGTACAATCTGATCATAGAACACTACACGTGCAAAGTATCGCAGTTGTATTTAATCAACATCATACCAAAAATAGAGTGTACGTTTTTCTACACAACTTCGTTTTTGAGTGGACAGTGTTTGCTCAATTAATTCTCTCTTAATTTCTCTAAAATATTCTTTGTTTTCGGCTTCATTCACCCCACACACCGTTTGCGTGATGTGAAACTACAATAGGTTTACAACTCTTATTGAATCGTCGCAACTTTGCACTTGGTGCATCCTCAAAGGTTCACATGTACTTGCCTCGGAGTACTGCACAAAGGTATACCAATTTACGTCTTGCAAAAACAGTTAACTGGCTTTGCTGAAATTTAAATTTTCCACGATGTTTTCATAATTTTAATGTTCATTTTGTCATAAAGTCGTGATTGTGGTATTTCAACCCGCTTGTAAAACTTTTTCTTGGTGTTGATTTAAACCAGCAGCTGCATTATGAAGTGTTTCAATAAAAGTTGGGAGATCTGAAAAAGAAAAAAGCGAACAACTCCAAATCATTAAATAAGCTAATAGATAATTATGCAAGCACATAGATAAGACTGAAAAATAACTGAAAACAGCCATTTTTGAGATGAATGGTATCATTCAAGACAAACAGGTTTTCCTTGAGACACGTGTAAGTATGAAAGGTATAGGCGAGTCAGCCTCTTTCTCCCAGCCTAGTCTCATGCCCAAGAAAAAAATATCGCCAAAACATAGATCTGTACCACAGATTTCTTCTCCAAAAGTTTTCCTGTGGTTTGCTTATTTTCAAGATATTTCTGACCATTTCTTTCAACACACAGTCTTAACTAAGCCAAGGAAGAGCTTTTGCTCCTAGTCTGAATGAATCACTGTAAAAATTCCATTAAAACGTCCATAAAACTTATACAGTGCCAACCCCCACTTCTCAATAAAATGGCAGCCTGGCAGTGGCAGGAAAACTCTTCAAATCAAAAACGACACATCATGTTTTGTTTCACCCACCAAACTCTTTGATTAATTCTACAATGAAGCAACATACATATATGCCCAACAGCAAGACGCCCTTTTCTTTAAGCTGTATTGCACCAGACTCAAACCCAAAGGAACCACATTTTAAAGTACATTCCAGTCACTGTATCCACAAAAGATATTGCATTGACTTACTTGTGCTTGTCAAAATATTCATGCAGTAAGATGGAAAGTTTGTCTTGGGATCATCAAAGTAAGACAAAACAAAGTCAAATCCATCCTGCAAAGTGAACATTGCCAAAAAAAAAAAAGAACTTGAAAGGTTTGCAGAAGAGAAAAAATTATGTTGCCCTCTTACATTATCTCCAATTACTAACTGAACTGAAATTTCTAGTCTCACATTTTTCAAAAGTTTTAAGAAAAAATAATTTGAACCTTCAGCTCTTAAGATCAAAAGCTTGTCTCACCTCATCAAATGTTTTATGTGGTACAATCACCATGCTGGAGTGGTAGCTTGGCACTCGCACATGTTCATTATTCTCTGGACAGAGTGGATGATGAGTTGCCCTGGGTAGGTAATCATGAACAGTTAATTACAGTAACAAACAGTATATTCAGCTTTTCCACTATGTTGCTCACACAAAGGTAAAGGGAAATTCAAGGCAAACAATTGCATAATTTTCTGGATGTCACATTTTTGTAACCACAAACCCCTTAGAACGCCTGTCTATGCATGCAATGATGGTTAAATGGGGTTCATGGGAAATCAGTAAGTAACACTTGCCATACTAATGGTGGGTCATCTCTATAGAAATTTAAGTTTACACTGTGCACTGAAATCGTGCTGATATAAATCATCTATGCAACATTACTCTGTTGCTCACCTTGATAACAGAACCATCGTCCTTGAATTATGATCAATCTGAAATATGGACATTAAAATGTCAAATTTTAATAAATAAATAGTGCACTGGTAACTTTGGCCTTCTTGGTATTAATGTTTCTAAGCTTTTCAAAGATCTCCTTGAGCATATCAATTATTTTTTCATGCTGGTTAATTAATTGAATGCTGTTCCAGTTACTGTGAACCTTCAGGGTTACTCTTTAAATGATTACACTTGTGCAGTGTTTTATAGAAATCCCAGAAAACTAAACATTGCTGCAACTGTAGAATTCAAAGGAAAATGCTGACCCACCAGCACATTCTTCACTTTACCCTTTGAAGCCTAAGTGTAAATAGCATCTGCTCCTAGTTTTTGTGTTACAATATCAACCTGAATCAAGGACATGATCACCAACTAAAGAAGCTCTTGATTGTTAAACAAATTCTCTATGTCAGCATCTCAGGACATAAATGGAGAACAGTATAGAGAATATACATACTGATTTTAGGGTGGAGAGGGTTAAAAGAAAAGAAAAGGAGAAAAAAATACATAATAGGAAGAGGTTGGCAGTTCTGCCTGACTAAAACCCATTGTAAAAACAATCTCCATTTACTTACCTTCCCTCTTCTTACAAACACATAGTCTCTATTTCTCAATGGGTACTATAGATGACAAAAGAAAAAAAACAAGAAGGTAAAACATTGAGTACACTATTCCCGAAAAATCTTCTCTGCAGTTTGGATAAATTAGGTTAATTACTTAAATACTTTACTGATAAGGTACTGTGAATTTTTTTTTGTACACTCTGCAGATAAACATTTTAAAATCAACTTCATGAACACTAAACATGCATACCTTTATTTGTATTGGTAAACTAAGGGTCTGGACCCAGTTGTTCGAAGAGAGTGGATGACACTGTCTACTGGATAAATATTGATCTGGTGGATAGCTTAGTACATTAATTTTTGTCAACCCTTATCTGGAGGATAAGGTTATCCACCCTTTGGACAACTGGGCCAGAACATTGTTAGCCCTATCATATAAATAACCAGTTAAAAAGAAACAAACAATGCAAAACCCAAGAAAAGAATAGATGTATAAAATGAGATACTTACAGGAAATTTTGTAACCCAGTGTAGTACTTCAGTTCCAGTCAGAGGATCAGAGTCAACAACATCAAGTTTTAAAACAAACTGGTCCCAGCATAGGCGGTATTCATTATCAACCTGAAAATAAATACATCACTCTTAACATTGTTTCAGAGATTCTGGCCATTTGACTGAGTTAATAACATGTAATGTAGTGACTTCTCCAGAAAAGTTACACCTACCAGAAGCACACCAAATACACCTCTTTTAGAATTATTTCTCATATCACTAAGAATGAGTTATACATCAGGTACCTCATGCAATAAACAGTGAATTGAACACACGTGCACAATCAGACTGAAGCTGTCTTTATACTTTGTTGTTGTTGTTTTTTTAACAGTGTAATTTGTCAACAAAACTGTTCTAATACTTAGTGCAGAATATATAGTTCCAAGTGTCACATTTTCAAAAGTGTTACACCAAAGCAAGTCTACAAAACTGAACAATTGGCTGATCCTTCCGTAAAATTCTAAGGGAACCTGTTCAGCCAAAATTTCCTTTCCCTTTTAGTATGATTATGAAGACAAGTGAGAAGACAATAAAAATGAAATGTTTTGATAAAGTTTAAACCTTGTAAAGAATTATTAATCATACATAATTATGTAATCTCCATCAAGTTTGTTAACTTTGAAACCACGCAGAATTCAAAGAGTGTTGCCACATCATCAAGTCATAAGTTGCTTGTGATACCCCCATTATCATTAACAGGTTAAATAGAATTAAGTTAAGGAAGCTATCCTCACCTGAGTCCTATAGAAAGATGTTGCATTTATATCAAAGAAAGTACCAAAAACTACAAAAAGAAGAGGTATACATTAGGTCAGAAGTTTCAGAAAATTACAATGTAGAAGTAATAAAACTGCAGAACTAAAATTTTCATTTCCACATAACATCTGACAAAAACCCTTCCAGCTCTTGAAGAGCATACTCAAACCATGAACAGGTAAAACCAAAACTTGCAAAAAACTGACTTTATAGTACATACAGTGCATTAAATAAACACATTTTTGTGTTTGAAATTGAAATGTGTACCTTGGATACCCATGAGATACATGTAAAGATTCATAGGATCACCTGAAGTACCCAAGCCCACAAAAGAACTAATTATAAAATTTTTGTGTACCCCATACAAGCAGCACAGCCTGTACAAAGGTATTTCATAAACTTCCCTAAGAACCTTCATGTACATTTGTATTGACTGTCACCAATTTCTTGGTGAAAATAGTTCCTTAATTCAGACAAGAGGAATAGTAAGTAATTTACATTTATATGTCTGGTTACAGTTGTTACCTTTGTATTCATAAAGCCCAGTAGTATCAATAGGCCTTCTCCACACTTCTAACTGATGTTGGTTGATAAAGTGTTCCCATTCCTCTTTGTCACTGTTTATTTTGTCACTTTTCCTTTTCCTAGAGTTTTCTTTTTTGCACCTAAAGAACAAGCAAAGCCAAAATAAAATCTTAGTCATACATAAATTTAGCCACTCTCTGGAATATGCTTGTTTCATAATCTGCAGATAAATATTCAATTACTGTTCCACAATCATATTCACACCTTTATCCTATATGTACAATGTATATCCTCAATATAGAATACATGAAAAGTGGGAGTGGTATATACCAGTGACCTACAAGAAGTGTGATGGATTAGAATAAATTGCACATGGGCACTTAGCTCTCTTTTCTCTTAATTTTTGCTCTTATTTTATGTTATCCCTCTGAACTTGGAAAAATCCTATGTATTGTACATGTATGTTGAAATATATATTAACAAAATACCAGTACCACAATATGCTTTCAACTAGGTTTTAAGTACATTATCCTCTTCACTCCCAGGATCTCATTAGTAATTATCCTTCTTGTATGTTATACAATTCTTATAAGGTTAGTTCAAATAATTTGGTATTGGATTATAAGTCCCTAATTGATATTTTATTTTATTCTCATCACTTGTCTGCTTGATATCATATGGATATTGCAAGGGGAAATTCTGTCTTAGTCACTCAAGGGAGTTAAAGTTTTAAATAAATCTTAATAGTAAACAAGCATGATACAAGGGAAGAAGAGAACAGTTTGGTAGACTTCAAGGGTTTCAGGGAAGAAGGCTTAGCTGATGACTACTGGAAAGAAAGGGGATGGGGGGAGGTAATGGGCATTTGGATAGACAGCAGCCTGAAAACTTAGCAGATAATATTAAGTGTCAAGTAACATTATGTATGGCTCTATCAGTCGAGTATTTTTAACTTTAAGCTTATTTATTATGGTTTTATATAGTAATGTATCATCCATTGTTTCAGTTCCTTGTCTAAATTCAATCATAATCTTCGCTCGTAGAGGTTTTTCTCTGCTGTGCCCAAGCAACTCTTTAATGCTGTTTTATGCCCCCTAAAGTCTAGAATACCACGAACAAAACAGTTGAGCATGAACCAAATCTCAAAAATGTACCAGGCAGATATACAAAAGAAATCATCTTGAACGGAATGAGCACCCCAAAGAA